TTATTTTATTTTAATTAAAATGCTTACTTATGTAACAGTTTTCAATGAAACACAAAGCTTTTGCCATACATAAATTATCCTGATCAATTTTCTCTCTGAAATAGAATGTTTTAATTACAAATGAAATGTATAAGATATGTCTAGTCTGAAAAATAATTTCTTACTCATTATCTTCAATTATGGCTTCAAAATCAGATAGTTGGTCTATTGTATATTGAAAAAATTCCTTTAAATTTTGATCATTTAAGGATTCTTGGCTTTTAGAAAGAATTCTGTCAAAAGTAACTTATGTAAATTTGTCAAAATTATTTAATTTTATTAATGAATATTTAAAACTATAGTCTTTCCAAGAATAATAGTGAAGTCGATATTCATTAGTCTATATGCAAAAGAAAGTTGTTTTGTATTCATTATGAAGTAGAATTACATATATTAGAAAATTATAAGATATGTTTAAACTGTTATAATCTATTTGTAATATCTAAGTAATTTAAAATTTAAAAAAAAAAAAAAAACAGTCACACTTTATATCATATTCTTACAATTCGTAAAATTTTGAAGTTTTTTAAAAAATTCAAACATAGCATTTAAAAAAATTTTCGTTGTTTAGCTATGACAGCAAACTGATACATATTCAAGATCTAGCACATCAGCTCCATTCTTATTCTGGGAAATATTATAATCATTTATTTTAGTATATATTTTGACTTACTGATAAATTGTATCTTGTGTAATATCCTCTTCAATTTCATCATTTAGCATTAATGTAAAATGCTTTTTAATAATTTCCCATTCTATTATTTTTTCATTCTTATCTGTAATTTTATAAAACATAAATTAAAAATTAGATAAATTGTTCCAACGTAAAATATAAATCTAAATAATAACCTTCATCTTGTTCTTCAGAAAGCAACTCTTCTAAATATTCTTCTTCTTTTTTAAGTGTTGCTTGGAGTTCCTCAATACCGAGCTTTGATAGGAGTATTAATAAATAAAATGTATTTACAGTATAAAATATAATAAAATATATTACTTACAACTCCACCAAATGGATTGACTTGAATTATAGTATTAATAAATTGAATTGCATACTTTCGAACGAAGCTAGATTTATCCATCAATCGACCGATGATTAAAACTAATAGTGGATGTTGATGATCTAATGGAATAGCTTTTTGCTTACATAAACTTTGCCATATCTGAAGAGCTTTGCTTCTGACAAAAGCATTGACATCATGTATATGTTCCTAAATACACAAAAAATTAAGACTATGTTCTTGTACATAAAGTATTTAAAACTTACTAAACTTACTTCTAATTTAGCCAACATTTGATCTCTCAAATCCTTTGCTTTATTCTCTAATTCAGTATTGCTAAATACTTTTATTATTATTTCTCCAAACATGGATAGAACACCACATCTCATAACATAAGGCTGTAAAGAAAATTTTAATGTAATATATATCATATAATACATCTTTACTATGTAATCAATCAAAAAAAGAAATTTAAAATAAAAATTGATATATTTCCATTTGGCATACCTTTCTTCCTAAACATTCTTCTAAAAGATTATGCATTATAAAAATAAATTTCATAAGTAAATGAATTATGTTAATTGCTATTAAGTTGCATCATATGAAAGAATTTATACATATTTAATAATGCAAGTTCTACTTAATTTTAATTAATTTCATAAAAATAAGTTAGAATACTAACAAGGACTAGCACCCAAATGTCCCTCTGATTTTGATTCTTATATATGTTACAGAAATTAAAAACTTCAAGACATGCACTTCTAACAGTTAAAAAATGTTTTCACAGGGTAAAATCAGCTCTTAAAGGTGGAGATGTCACAGTGATTTTACAGCTTCATATAAAACACTTATTCAAATAACTATCCACATTTATTCCAACAAAAAATATCTTTGGGGTATGTACTATTCATGCACTGCTTGTTGAACCTCTTCATTAGAACAAACTTTTTGACACGAAGATATGATAATCTGATAGTGCAAAGTTTGGTGAATATGGTGGATGCAGGATCAAATCTCCTGGATGGCTGCAGTAGTCATACATGAGATATGAGACTGTACATTGTCATGTTGCAGAAGGGCACAAAGGGTGAGCAAGTTCTTGCTGTTTTGTTCTGATCTCTGGATTCAAAAGTGTTTTCAAGAGATCAGAATGTGATTCACTATCACAGTGGGTCCTGAAAGCATGTAATGTATGACAATGTGATCCCTTTGTGATCCTAAAAAAAATATTAACAGTATCATTCTGCACTAGGCTGGTTTCAAAACATTTTGAGTTTTGGTGATGAACATGATGCCATTCTTTGCTTGATCATTTGGTTTATAGTAGAAAGTAGTGTACCCAACTTCCATTAACTAGGCATTCCTAAAAGTCTTTCTTTTCCTTCTTGTAATGTCTCAGCTTGTCATTCCTTCATTTCTTATGTCAATTACTTGGGAATCTATCTTGCAGCTACTGTGATGTTGCACCTCATCTTGAATGATGTGGTTCATCCATATGCAAAATCTTCACCAATTCTTTGATAGGGATATGTTTGTCTTGACAAATTTGTTCATCTATGAATGGGGTAATCTCAGACATCACATCATGTGAATGATATTGGAGTGTCACTCATACTTGACTGATCTGCTTTGAACTTGTGTTTGATCTACAGACTTGCTGCAGCAATATGCAGGTAGTATCATATTGTATCATCATTTAACAATGAATTTTGATGGGCTTCACACCATCTCTTATAAGGAAAAAGATAACTAATTATCATACCAAGGGAACCACGTTTGCAGAACTGCTACATGACATTGTGAGTGATACAAGTTATGAAAATCATGCTCAGGAATGTCTGTCCTATATCATATCCAAGCATAATCACCAAACATTTTTAAGGTTACTTTTTGAACTAGTCTCACGGAAACAATGCTACGCTACTGCTGTATTTAGGGAACTACATATTTTGCATAAATTCATGCTTTTAAAGTAAACATTCTTGACTACATCCTGAATATTTTTGTAAAGTACTATATTATTTTTCCGACTTTTCCAACGATTATCGACACGACTGTGTGCCGGAAATAGCCATTCCCTAACGGGTACTTTACACGGATTCGTGTTAGTGTGCCAGGCCTGGACTTTAAGCGTGCACCGAATTAAATAATGACCAAGTTTGTCAATAACAAATCAAATATTTAATAAATTTCTAGTAATAAACTATATACAAAATTTATTAAAATCAAACAACAATTTATTCAATGAAAATCAATAAGAATCAACCCGACAAAACTCAATTCAATTATTTTCTAACTTAATTCTATTCCCCTTTGGAATTCGACAAAATCAAAAGACTTAACTTATATACGATAATTCTTATGAATTATTAAGATCCTAATCATCACCTCAATATACTAGAAACCTATTTCCTCAACTCTCAAGACTTTCTCTATTCGTCGATCCACAAAGCAAATAACTTCAAAATCGCCTTGGAACTACTTTTATCCTATCGGACACCTCTCTCGTTTGCTACTACGAAGCTCACCAAGCTCGTTGCTAACAGAAGCTCACCTCGGTCATCTTCACTTGACGTTCGGACTTTATACTGTGAGGTGACGTCACAATTCTGACTGCAATCACTCTCCTCATTTACATACTTATTTGCTAACAATAAACTTTTTCTATTTGTCTGGCAGCCTATTTTCCGACAATACTCGCTAACCTTTTACATTATTCTTTTTGACAATTTTCAGGATGTTTTTATTCTTTAACGTTTAGCGAGTCCCTAAGTTGTGCTTGTGGGGTCTCCCCCCCTTTTCTCAGTGCGGACTTATTTTTTTCCCGCTCGGGAGCACAAGTGTGCGCAAGTTTTTTACTACGGCACTTTTCTCTCGTTGGTGAGTTGGTTTCTCTTCTATTTTTAAGTTTCTAAGGTGAATGGTGAGGAAACCTTTGTCCTAACAAAACATAAGCCCCAAACAAAAATATAATAAAAAGCAAAAATAAAAGTAAATAAAAATAATGCTTGGACTTGGTTCCTTACATTTTTATTGTCTGGAAACATTCATGTAAGTTTTTTGCTATTTATTTGTTTATTTTTTGCTCTATCGACAAATTTGATTATTATGCTTTTTTTTTGGACATGAATAATTAAAGGCATAATAAATTTATTATAAGAATTTGCTTATATAGAGGAATTATAAGAATTATTATAAGAAACAACAATATTTTTAAATAAAAATTTGTGTATTATATTTTTTTAACAGATAAATAAGAATAATATTTGTTTTAGAAAACTAGATAAATTTATTTATAATTCACTACTTACTTCTTCATCAAGAAAATGAAGCAAGAGACTTGAAGAATGTAAAACTACAGAAGGAATTTTTTCTGTAATTTCAACCAGGAACAGGGAGACTGATTTGGTACCTGTGTTATCTCTAATTAAATCTTGAATGTCCATTTGACTTATTTCCCTAAAAAATAATGAAAATACAAAGTATAATTTTATAAAATGACAATTTAATATTAAAAAATGTCTTGAAATTTTTTATTTATAATTCCATACATACCTTATTATTTCATTCACAATATTATTAATACCATATTCATTTACAAATAATTCAACTGCTTGAGCCAGAGGAGAAACTAAATAATCAAAATGCTGCACAAATTGTATAATTTTTAAACTGCAACCTTTAAAATAGCAATACTGTACATTATTATGATTTTATTTTATTGATATTAATTGTAAAATTACTAAAATGAAGTCTTACTTAAGCTGTTTTTATATTTTTTTAATAAAATACCAAGAAGATTAAAAATGGCATTCTTTGTAGATTTGCATCGAACTGTATTCTGATTTTCCAATAACTTGAAGCAACAATTCATAATCAAGCTAAAAGAGACAAATAAAAAATTATATCAATTAATAATATACAGTACATCAGAAACTACAAATAAATCTTATAATATAATTTAGATGGGTTGATAATAATAATAAGTGTAGAGCCCAAATGGTTAGGAGTTGAAAGTTGAAATTTGGTACACAGCTAAGGTACATCATGAGAATGTACACTAAAAAGGGATTTTAAGAAATTCCCCCCTGCAGGGAAAAGAGAGAGAGAGAGGGTTAAGGATTACCCTGAAGAACTCGGCTTCTACTATACTATTTTAGATGCAGTTTTTTGTGTTTTTGTGGGAAGTCAGACATATTTTTAGATCCATCTAAAAATTCTCTAATTAGTCTCAGAAGAGGGGGACCTAATTCTTGCACCTGGTGAAAATGGATAAGATCAGCTATAATCTAATAATCTTCACTATCGTTAATTTTTGCCCAAGCAATACCAGGCCCATCTGCTAATTAATAATAATTCAGTAATAAACAGAGTTAAATAAATACTTTTTAAAAATGATATAAAATAATTTTATAATGAAAAATATCTAAATTCCAATAGCTTAATAAAAATAAATCTATTATAAATAAACTTCAGAAGTCAATTATATATTATACAAATCACTGTTAATGTTTTCTAAAATAGTTTAGTAAAGAATATTAATTGAATATGTACAAACAAATCTTACTGCATACCAGTAAGATTATCTTTAAAAGATAATAATAATAATTAAGATTAAAATATTTTAAACTGACCAGAGGAAACATTTAGCTAATTAAGTAACTACCTAAAATTAGCTTGGACAAACACTTTATAGTTAATCAATAATGAATTTGAGATTTATATTACTTGACAAAATCCTCCTCTATTATCGGTGGATCCCATAACTTGTGTAATTTTAACTGGCAGATTGTATTAAGTGCTGTAATGCCTTGAATACGTTCTTCATCCCAAACAGATGATTCATTCTGCACTAACTTCTTCCCCTGTAATAATTTCAAAATAAAATTAAATAACAAACCAAACAACAAATATTTAAAAGATATTTAATTTATAAACATTTACTTTTCCTATTATATGTTTATTTGAATTTTGATATAATTTAGATTCAACTGCTTCAAGAAATTGACATAATAAATAACAGAACATTTTTAACATATTACGAAATTTAGCGCAATCTTGTTGATCCATTGACTCTTCTGAATCTAGATACTCACATAGAGATTTTTCTAACAGATTCATACCTATAAATAACATAAAGACTAGTAAAAAACAAAATGCATTTTTATACAAAATTAGCAATTATATTTATAATGTATTTGTGAACAAAAAGATTAAACTTTTAAATTTAAGTTAACCAAATTTCTACATCTTCAAAATAATATCAAGATTAGATGATAGTATGGTAGAATCCAATTAACCAAGACTGACTGAAAATTATCTATAAAGATCCATATTTTAAAAAATTCTTAGGTTTTTAATACAATGCTAATAACATAAAAAACATATTAAAATTCACATTTATTTAAAATCACATAAATCAGATTTTCTTAATCCTGATGTAATACTATAATTAATTAATAAAAATAAAACAGAAACTAATTGAAGTAAAATGTGACAGGCATCAGTCCTCATCAATGCAATGGGATGAGATATTTTTAGTGTGGTGCACTTCTTTACAAGTAATGATTGTACACACAGTGGAACCTCGCTTAACGAGCACCTCTCATAATGAGCAAATCAAATTGTAAAAAGTGACTTGCTTAACAAGTGACAAGAAGAGAGGAAGTTCCAGATTGTGCGCATGTTATATCAGTCTGTATTTAGCCCTGGTTCTGCTAGCATCTTAGTATTGCTTGTGATCACAGATTTTTCCAAACTTGTGTTCAGACATATTACATATAAACATCAACAAACTTAGCCCATTATATAATAAACATGCCAAATGATATGCCAAATTCTTGGGCTATGTAAAGGCTATAATTAAATATTAGAAATTAAATAATTTGACTAGAGGTAGACAGTTGTACTGCCTCTCGTATTAAATTTAATGACCAATTCCAAATTAAATTTCAATTTTTTTTTGTTTTCTGCAAATCGAATTCGCATTCCAGGTTGGTTCATTCTGCACTAGAAGAAAAGATGATGATAATTCACACTCATTAACAATGTATATTGTATAATTTTCTTTGAATAAATGTTATACATAAAATATTTGAGTATGGTATGCATTATCACATTTTACATTCATTTATATGGGAAAAATTGTTTTGCTTAATAAGTGTTTCTCATTATGATTAAGGTTCTGGAATGAATTATGCTTGTTAAGCCAGGGTCCACTGTATTTTTTTTTTACTGAAAAATTATTTAAAATATTCAGAAATATTTTTTTAGTAAAACAAGGAATCCAAATTTTTAAAAAGTAGCAATTTTTACAAAGTTTTTAGTTCTATTTTTCAATATATTTTTGAAAACGTAACCATATTTGATTTTTTAAAATCTATTAAAAAGTAACAAATATTGATAAATTGAAACATATCTATGAAAAAAACATGTTTATAAACCATAATAAAACTTCTATTTAAGCTACTTTATGAAGACAATTCAGAAAATTTTTTAAATGCAATTCAATAACATGCAAATTTTGTGAGAGAGGAACAAGTGAAAATTTTGTTTTATTTCAACCTGACAAGAAATCACAAAAATTAAATATTCTTAAAAACAATTATGAAATAAAAACAGGTTGGATAGAAAATCATTCTTTTTCTCAAATAATAAACTGATTAAAAGCTAATGTGACAGCATGTTAGTTAAAGCCATCAAGCTTGTGATAAAGAGAAGACACTTATCTTGATTCCACCAAACAACAATAGTTTCCTAATGATATTTTTTAACATTTTTCTTCCATTTTTCAATGAAGTTCACAGATATCCTTAGATTCACATGTGCATGGTGTGGTGGCTGCATAAAACTTCAAACACTCATAACTTCTGATAAATGCATCTTTTCAAAAAATGTTTTAAATAAAAGTTTGTTTATTTTTGATGTAGAATCAGAATATGCAATAAAAAATGGCTGTTTCCATTTAACATATTGACTTCCATGAGCAGTTTGCACAAACATGTCCTGGATGCCATTTGGATTATTTAATGTTTATTTGTTGTTTTAAAGTTTTATGTTTATTTTTTAAGTATAATTGGTAGTAATAATTAATATTTAGCAAAAAAATATCAATGTGAGTTATCTTGTGAAGTAACTTTTCTTTCTCGGACACCAACAATGAGATAATTTAAGAAATATAAATAAATAAATATATATTTTTTCCAATATTTTTTCAATAAACTTTTTTTCCTTTTATGACACCAGGTTGATTTGTCTTTCATATTCCAGGCACAAATTAGTCACTTTGATAATATATTTACTACAAAAATGCTTGTATCTTGCAATCTAAACAGAAAACTCATATCACATTTTAAACTTCTTTATAATTTGTTCTATAATGCCCAATCAATGTGTCATTCTCATTCCAGGCACCCACTAATCAGTTATAATAACTACTTACTATAGGAATAATCATATCTGGCAAAACACGACAGACAACATTATATGAGTTATCTTGTAGATAACAGTTAATGTATTAATAAATGAAATTGACCTTTTTTTTACCAATTGTAGTGCCTTCTATGATGAAACTGATAGCTCCATCTTGTACTTCTCTTGAAGTCTAACATCTTTGGTTTAATGATATTTTGCAGGATGCACATTTTCGTATTCCAGTGGATTAATTAAAATGGACTTCCCTGTATCATAGTGGTGTAAAAGTGTAAGTTGCCTGACAGCCATAGGGGCCTTGGGTAGTTCATTTGGCATAGAATATTACTGAAACATAAAATCTTGTACAAGTAAACAGTTTTGTGATAAAATATAACATGATATCAATTATTCAGTTTAGTCATCAGTATTAAGCAATCATTAATGCTACAATGATATAAGAAAGCATTAATTTTGCTTTTAATTTTGTTTGCATAGCTTCAGACTAAGTTTAAATATAATGAAGTAAACATAAATGTTGAAATTTCTACATTTACAAACTGAAAATGTTTAAAATTCAAAATAGTCATATAAAAAATGAGTTTTGTGTTCAAAATCAAAATTAAAATTTTAATAAAACAATGCAATAAATAAAATAAATTACTATATAAAAAAAAAGAAACCTTTCAAAATGATCTTCCAAGCATTTTCTTTTACATCAGCTTCAATTTTAGCAAAATCACTATAATAAAAAATTTAAAGTGGATTAATCAGATTTTAAAAAAATACATTTTAGTTATTTAAAATTTTAACAATTAAATTTATCATCAGTCGTTAAAAATTAGTAGTAATTTTCAACAACATAATGCAATTTATGCAAAAGTAGGTCAGCAATTTTTATATATACTGTATTTCCTCAATTCCAAAAGGCTATCAACTCTAAAGCCCACTGCAAACTAGGCAATGCCATCACTTTCAACATGACATCAGAGGAAATTTTTATGGTTACATGAATGCTTTCCTTCAAAGATTGATCAATGTCGCCATTTGTGATATCACACATGTAGTTCTACAGAACCAATGAACATTTTGACCTCTCTAAGAACTATTGCTCTGTATTTATTTTGTAAAATGAAAATGATGTATGATGACAATTTGTATCAGCAAATGGAAGTAGCTAAAGCTAACTGATGTTAGCTTTGGCTGCATTCCATTCATTGTCTATTTGACAGAAATTTAATAAATAAACATAAACTTGGTGAGAGAATTGTAAATATTAGCCCAGGATTATATATATAAACAAACATCAGCTAACCCGATAAACATTAAAGCAACCAAAGCCGAATTAACGGACTAGAAGAGACTATAATAATAATAATAATAATAATAATAATAATAATAATAATTTAAGATAATTTTAGCCCAGGATTATTTTAGTTACATTCCAAAAAGGAATTTTTGAGACAATACAAACAATCTTTGAGTCCTTTTTCCTATTTATATCCTTTTATTCCAAACAGCAGACGACTTGAAGTAAAACTTCTAAAAATAACAGACGAAATACTATCAAATGATTTACACACAATTAAAAATGATCTCAACATCAACCTGTTTTTGTAGGCTATAATGTTTACAAGCATTAAAAATCCTTCACATCAGCATTGATGTTATATAATCGCATTTAAGTTGAGAGTTCTCTGGAGAATTTTCGGGCAGCCGATAAATTATTTACATAACTGTACAAGATCATTTTTAATTGTGTGTAAATCATTTGATAGTATTTTGTCTGTTATTTTTAGAAGTTTTACTTCAAATTACCTGCTGTTTGTGGTTCCTGGATTGGAATAAAAGGATATAAATAGAAAAAGGACTCAAACATTGTATTATCTCAAAAATTCCTTTTTGGAATGTAATTGGTGAGAGAATATTCAGCCCTAGACACTGCTAATTTTATGTGGGCAAGCTCTTCATCCACAAACAACTTTTTATCAAACTTCATTTTTGTTTGTAAGATAACTTTGTCAGAGATAAAATGAATTTTATTGAGCTGTTCATAGATGGTACTTGTTTCACAAATTTTAACAAAGGCTAGGTGTGCAAGATATACATTTTGTTCAAAACCAGTGATTTTTCTGTTTATCTTTGATAAGCCTTGCCAGGAGCTTTCTTTCTACACAAAGGACGAACACACCACAGAAATAATTCATATTTTGTACCATCCTCCCAGTTGCTTGTGGATGAAGAGCTTGCTTGCATAAAATTAGCAGTGTGCAGGGCTGAATATACTCTGCCAAGTTTAATTATTTAGTCAATCATGTAAAAAATGCATTATTTCCACAATTCCACTTTATTTCATAAGAAACTGGTCTTTGTGTTGCTAGCCATCCTGTACCTAGGCTCTATTTCTTTATGTATATACCCGAATTTTCTAAAGGTTTGTGCTGAGCCTTTAGAAAACTCGAGCATATACTACCATTACCACTTGCTTCCAAGCCCACATTGCATAGAATACCTTGCAATGATAGAAATGGGATTACACTCTTGAAAAGTTTGGAGTTTACAAAATCCACTAACTGGATCAAATTTATTATCTTTATATTATTATATATAGGTGCCACTAACAGAATGTTCCGTGTCTGTCAAGCAGAGCATTATGAAGATGTTACACATGGGAGATGTTCAACAGAGCTAGCTAAAACAGTGATGGAATACAACTTTGATCCTATTTGGTCACTGTGGGGATAGGAGAATTTTGTTCATTTGAGTCTGTTTATCACATCAATGTTCCCATACAACTCTCCCACATTTGATATTCCACAGCAATGGGTTGCACTGTTCAACTTGCTAAAACTGTAGGTCATGCAATTATATGGCATGAGCATACTGGTGACAAGGGGCTCCAATGTTTACATTTTGTTTAAATTTTCTTTATATTTTTATCAATTAATTTTGTTTTTCTTTTGTTAACTGTTGTCATAGCATATTATATTTATTTTGTAATGGCATATAATTTTGTATTTTTAAATTTTTATGTTCCATGCTTGTGCACAAAGAGCAATTTGAAAATGTGTTCTATCTCTAGATTCATAATGTTTCATCCCCCATATTACCTGAAGAAGACAGTTAGATGCTGCTGAAAGTGCTCATACTTGTTAATTAAACATATTTACCAGTAACACCAATAGACAGTTTTTATATTTTCATTTATATTTATAGATATGACACAGAGTGACATTAAGTTGATAACTGGGCAATCAATGGTTGACTGAGTGATGAGTGAACAAATTTCGTTTCATGTTTCCTTCGACCAGTTTGCTTTGATATTGCCTAGTTTGCGGCAGCCTTAAGGGTAAGTTACTTGCAATAAATCTCATATAAGTGTATTTCATATGGATTTACATTACTAGTAATAATTGTTGTGATTATCTATCAGAAACATCACCTGAGTTCTCACAAAACTGCTTATACTCTCAGCAACTTAGATTTGTGGCAGTGTCATTTGTCAAGTGTTGGGTCCTTTTTTCACTATATTATCTCGTAAACTGTCATTTAGAACTAATAATGCCACAAAACATAAACATTGTGTAGTGGCATTGTTACTTCTAAATGACAATTACAATTAAAAAATAACATTGAAAGTGAGCAAGTTGGTAAGGAATGAATATTAAGAAGGGAAGATTATTGGGCATATAATAATTTGTTCAATGAGCCAAAAATTAAAGATGAACAACAATTTAAAAACTTTATTTGGATGTTGGCCCACCAGTGGCCAAGTGGTCTTCATTCCGTGAACACTGGGAGTTCAGTTGTGGGTTCATGCCTTGCTCGGACAGGCTGGCCACATGGAGTTTTCTGGATTTTCTCCATGTCTTTAACGCCTAAATAGGGGCCACTTTCCCTTAAAAAGACCTCCCGGAACACATCCCCCTATGCAGATTGCCCAAGTGTAATGTTACCATAACTTAACTAAACAAACAAACAATTATTTGGATGTTTGCAGTATAACACTGCTCCAGAATCATTTTTTTTTATTTTCATTTTCTTCACTTCCTGCATAAATTGGCCCATTAAGTTGTGTAATTTTTGTAAAATTTCTCTGCTATTGTTATTTGGATTAAATTTTGTTGCATTTAATTTTAATATTTCTTGTTTTTTATTTTGATTTGCATAACTTGTAAAAATGCACATTGTACAAAAATGGGTTTTCTTCATATAAAGATATTAAAATTTTTATTTTTGCATCTCTCTATTTCTTCTTGCCTTTGACTGTTTAACTTGCCAAATATCAAAACAAACTGAAAGTATTTCCAGAAATCATGTGACTATAGTTATATCAGTTTAGACAAGCAAGCATGGATGTCATGTAAGGACTTCTGCAAGTTCCAGCAAAATGACTTATAAAGTGTAAACTATCAAGTTGTTTACACTATCATTAGTGTAAACAACTTTATAAGTCATTTTGTAATGTCAGTAAAACTTATGCTATTTATTCTGACAGTAATGTCAGAATAAATAGCATAAGTTTTCTCACTAGTCTAAATACACCCTAATACGCATCTCTAATTTGATAATCCATTCAAAATGGGTAAAAAATGTCTTTAAAAAAGTGAAATTTTATTGAAATATTTTTAAAAAATTGAGGAAATATAGCAATTATGATTTAGTAGTAATATTAATATTACTACTAAATTATCAATAAAATATTTACTAAATATAAAATTATAAAATTTCATATATTATTATGATCTTATAAACTCACTTTTATTATATATAATATGTTAATGTAATAAAAAATATATGATACAAATTTATGAGATCAATGTGCATTTAAAGATCTAATCAATTATTGAAGAATTTTTTATTATTTATATGATTTTTCAACTCCATAAACCAGTAACGAAATCACATCAAAAACAAGCAATTAAATTATTTATTGTGACATCATCACAATGCCAGGCTGCAATTTTTAATCATATTTTTAATTTACTTAATTTAAAATATATGCTCTCATCTCAAATTAGAAGTGGCTTAACCCTGTACATCATACTTTTCTTTTAACAATAGAGTTGTGCTGGTCATCTATCTAACACCTCTCAGAGGAAATTTTTGAATTCAAATAACATGACTTCTGATTTGCATCAGAAGTTTGTATATAGTTAATTGAGGCCTCCTACCCCTAAGCTTTCCATATCCGGTCTTGACTTTCATCTAGCTAACTCAGTTCTCGAGATTAAAAACAGACAGATAGTGGGAATTTATAGATCTACAATTTTGTATAGTTGTAGGGCTGCAATTTCAAATTGCAGCCCAACAACCATACACTTTCAATTGAATGCTTTCAACTTTTTCAAGGTTTTCAGATTATTAATTTACATCAAAATTAAACAGTCCAAGAGGCCAAATAATCTGAAGGAGGCTTTTAAAAATTGAAAATGTTTACTTATTTAGTTAATTAAATGTATTTGCTGGTTTTGAAGATGTATGGTTATTTTAATATAAGTGACTTAATAAACAAGTAATAAAAGCAAAATACTTACTATAAAACACAGAAAAAAACATCAAAATAATTGATGATAAATTCTGCATTATTACATCTTATTTGATGATGGCAATCTGTATAAAAAATAATTTATTTATTTCTTGGATTTCATTTATAGTTTTAAAAATAAATGCATTAAGTTAATTTATTACCTTTAAGTTTTTGTACAATTTCGGATGTAGAAAATGTTTCTTTCACTACATACTGATAAGATTTATTCACTTTTCTCAAATCATCTTTACTTAAAGGAATAACAAATTCAAGATGTGTCATTGCAATTTTAGATAATACACTGAAAATAAACATTTAAATTAATTAATATTTTATCTTAATTTTAATTTCAATTTTTGAATGGTTTTTAAATAATAAAAACATAAAAATTATATCTTTATAATAATAATAAATATAAAAGTAAACAAAATATTTTTAAATAGGTAAATGTCTCTTCAATCCAAAAAAAGAAATCCTTCGATAGACTGTCTCACAGCTCTACAGGTTATAAAACTCCTTTATTGTTTTTCTACAGATGCATTTCAGGCAAGTTTAATTTTCTAGCCCCTCTTCAGTGCCTAAGGAACTCCACATGTTTCTTCACACTTATACAGTACTTGTAGTTTCAATTTACAATGTTTTCAAAAATTTCCATTTTCTCTTTTAAGGGTGTTTTACATCGAAATAATTTTCATTATGAGGTTTTCTTTAAAAGTGTTTCATCTTTAAAAGAACATAGCAGTATATGTTGTATAATCTTTAAAAGGTTCAACAGACAATATAATTCTACCAAAGGATTTCTTTTTTTGGATTGAAGAGACATTTACCTATTTAACAACTAATACAACTGCCATTAGAAAATTCAACAAACAAAAAAAAAAAAAAAAATNCCTATATTATATCTCAATTAAGTGAAATTTGCCATAAATGTTAAGTGTTCTTCCCAAATTTCCTACTGGCTTATTTTCAAATTCATTGTTCATAATTTTATTTATAAATGATAAAGAATTAATAGTATCTATAACAAATCTAAATTAACTTTCTGCATGAGAGTACGTATAACATATTAAACGTAGTGTTAACATGTTACGTAAAACAAACGTGTAGTGTTTCACACAACACGTTAACATATCACTTGTTATATATAACAGAAGATTAACGCAAAAATTTATTATGTGATATTAATTTTATATAAATACTTATCGATAAAAAAAATATGGTAATACATATCAATTTATATAAAGATTACCGTTAAAAAATACGATAAACAACAGAACACAAAAATATATAAAATGACAGTTTAGACTTCCCGCGGTAGCGGTAAGTGTTGCCAATGAAGAATTAGTTGAAACTGCCTTTAATTTAGAAAATAAAAAGTTTAATAATTATATAATTTTATTATATACATATATTATATAATTATTAATATTATAATTATAGCTTATAATTATAAAAAAGTTTCGAAAAAAATATACCTTACAGGCAGTGGTGATATTCGAAATATTTAACAAAGGGTTCGCTAACAGAAAATTTTTCCTTAACAATTTTTTTTCGCTCAAATGGTGCATTAGCAACATTAGCATAAAAACTGACCTTAAGATATAAATAAAAAAGGATTAATGTTACCTTAGGTTCCAAGATGGCCGTGCTTCCGACTGTTCGTGGTTCAGACGGACTCCTCCCGGAGGGGAGCCGCCGGCAGGCCGCCGAGTGCCAAACGTCAGTAGTTATTGATTCACGGTAGTTCTTGAACAAAATAAAAAAAAGGAAACGTCTACTAAAAATGTAGCTAATCTAACGGAAACGAAACGAACCTAACCGTAGCGCCGCCATTTTGGAACCTAAGGTAGCATTAACCTAAAAAGAGATGTATATTACACGCGATGATAAAACTGACATAACTACACGGTAAGTCACAAACACCGACAAACAAAATGGAAGTTTTGGTTAGAAATAAATACAATACTTTTTCTTGCGATATATCTAATAATAGAAGATGTCATCGTCTCTCGAAATACAATATCTTTTTTATTTCGCTGTCCATAGCCCGACACTCGTTCCGCAGCCATCTTGTATTTTCTCGCACGCGTGGGATTGTGTGATCTCTCTTATGACTGGATCTAGTTTCAGGAACTCTCTTGAGCCGATCGCGATTGAACCTCGTTTCAGTCGAGATTGAAACGGTCGAGGGAGGTCGCACCTAGGTTAAAGGGGTATAAGGCTCTAGTTTAGTAGTGTTACAGAGTATAATACGTATATTTTAATATATTTTTTAATATTGGTGAAGCGGGAAAAATTGATGGGAATGGAGAAGTTGAAAAAACTTCTAGAGCAACAAAATTTTATTATTAAAGAACGCAAAAATTGTATTGTATTATATTTTTTTAAACTTCAACATATTAATTAATTAACAGGTGCGAAACAATTTTGAAATAAATATGTTTATGGAAAATTTTTGTTGAGGAATTTTCGAAATTTCCAGGGCTGTGGAATTGGAGTCGGAATAGTGGATTTTTGATGTTTTAGCCGGAGTCGGAGTCGTCAAAAAATCCGCCGACTCCGACTCCCTTTTACTTATCAACTTGTTATGTATATGAAACGAAGTAGGAGTCGGATGGTAAGGAAAAGTCGGAGTCGGAGTTGAAGTCGGTAGATTTTTACGCGACTCTACAGCCCTGGAAATTTCTGAAGTTTTTCTTGTCTCGGCAAAAACATAAAAGATATGATAATCGAGGGTATTTTTAAAAAATTTCTTTCTGCTCTGTGAGTACTAACAGAACCTTTTTAAATTTAAATCCATAGGGAGTTCGGCCAGGCCCACGCTTCAGTGGCCGGGACGGATCACCCTCTGAAAAATTCTTGTTTTTCGATCCGGGTCCCGGTTCGGTTGTCTAACACCTTAACTTATGTTAGTATTTTTGTTAGCTTTTTTCTAATACTGTAGCGGCACCTCTATTTCTTTATCAATGTAATTATTACGTTTTTAGTATTTTTAATAATAGAACTATACGTGAGGAGTGTTATAGCGCTGCTCGGCACTATATTTTGTGACACCGAGGTCCACCAATGGCCGTGTAGATATGATAACTTATTACTGGTAGTTGATAGCGAGTTTGCGCTTAATTAACGGGCTGTCCACGTAAAGTTTAACGGATTTTCTTAACCCGTCTACACTAAATAGGGGCTAGAAAATCCTCCCGGTGACATCCCTCCTTGCTCAAGTGTTGAGTTACCTTCTTATATTAATCTATCTCTCTAATTCTTGAACTGTCATCGCGACATTCTTGAGTGGTGAGCATCTTTATTCATAACCACTATCTTAACTACTCGGCCATCCGAATAACATTTTAAAAAAAATTCCATTTTTTGAAAATTTTTTTCCGTAGAACATATTACTATATTTATAATTTTTAATTAGTTACAGATTTAAAATAATAAATATTAAATACATTTTTAAATCTTATGTGAATCTTTGGGCTATATAACTATAAACTACAATTTAATTGGGCAGATGTAGAAGTTGCCTCTTCTTCAGCACGCCATAATTGCTGGCTATCGGTAGTATGTATTATTTTCAATCCATTTACATCTTATTTTTGTTTTTACATTTACTTATAATTCTTATTATAATATAAAATTAGTTCAGTTAATCTTTTAGATATAATATTTATTTAACGTCTAGTTAAGAGTAATGTTTAATTTATAATTATGTTTAGATGATTCGTATTGTTGTAAACGTGTTCAATGCACAGTAGATGTACAATATTTTAAATTTTTGAAAAATATTATTTATTATTATTTTATGTATACAAAAATTTACACAGTAGAATTAAATAATGAGAAGTTTATTATTTGACACAAGACATTTCATATATTTCTATAAAATTACTATAAAAGGCACCATCTTAAAATATATATTAAGTAAGTAAGTATTAAAGATTATTATTAATTTTATTTGTTAATCACATGAATAATAAGTTCAAAAATTGAATAAATTTATACTATTTAAAGATTATACATATTGTGCCATTCTTTAGAACAAATTTTTGTGTACCATGATTGATTAAATTTCGATTTAGTCATTTTTCTGTTTTGTAGTCAAGTTCTGTGTGTCTTCTATTATATGAATTTTTTGGTGTGGGTGTTAAAATGATTGGATATATTAATGTATTTGTCAATGTAAGATTGTTCACATGGAATACTTTCAGTAACAATATCCAGAGTTCTTTGTTATAAAATTGAAGAAATAGATGATAGATTGTGTATTGTTGTCCTTTGTAGATGGTTGTTAATAAACTGAAGAGTTAAATTGTTTTTAGTTGTTATTGCAGTTCTATTATAGGAGTAGTATAGCATTGCTTTTTCTCTCAGTTTTGTTTTCAAAAGAGACAAATACAATAGTCATTTGCAAAACACACTGAATTATTCAGCATCGATCCATATAAAAAAAACATTATAAACAAAATAAGTAAAATGGCAAAACTGTATTTGGGACAAGACTATGTCTTGGAGACTCACTACTAAGTGGAATCACTGACACTCAAGGCAGGTCTTGTTTTCATTCTCCAATCTTCTTTGGTATTGCTACTTTTGGGTGTGATAGTTCAAATTTCGCCAGCCATGACCATAAGGTCATCTATGATGCATTTTCGATGAAATTAACCTATCCAATTTCGAAATTTCTCTTCATTGTGTGTTGAGTTGAATTTTTGTGTAACAAAAATTTTCCGTTTTTGAAAAAAAATCGTGGCTATTGTATCGTCCGAAATTATTTTTTTTATTTTGCACAAACAATATACAGTTTAGGGCATGCAACGTTGGATGGAGGATCAAGGCGTCCTGGTAGTGTTAAGGCTATTCCTGGAAGTGCTATGATTTTCTTTGCTCTTTGCAGTACTGCTGGTGTTGGGTCGCTGTTTATCTCCACAGAGCGTGATTGTAACAGAAACTCATTGGCTCTAGTGATGAAGTCATTTTCTCTGCACAAAACAAATCTTTTTCCTTGTCCGATACTAAGAGCCTCAGATCATTCTTGGCAAGGAATTTTGTTACTGCTTGGTGGTTTTTGTGACTATTTGGTGCATCAGAGATGTGCTTTGTTGTAGCAAAATATACAGTTTAACCCGATTATAATGTCATCAGATGTAACGACAACCCTAATATAACATCAAATTTTTATCAGTTCCATGATTTTACTATACTAGATAATGTTAAAAAATCTATTTGTACCGACACCCGGTTTTAAAGCCATATTTGAAGCTCTCCCAGATTTACAAAATTAGATTAGAAATTTTATTTAACATAGAAGAAACTAAGTGTTCAGTTCTAAGATCAGAGTTTACTTCTTAGAATGACTGTGGGTGGTACTCTCCCCCACCTGTCTTCGGTGGGGTGAGGTGCCTGTTTGTAGAAGAGGGTTGCCATTTTGTATTTTATTTTGACTCGGTTCTCGGTCCCCTCACTACCTACAAGTCTGGATTTTTTTTATGTACAGATGATTTGGACACCTAATACTCTGTGCTAAATATCAACTCCCGACATGTACTCATTCATACTTCTAAGCTGGTAACATAAACCAGCAGTACGATTTTATAAAGAAGATTAGTCTTGTCAAAAACCATAGGACTACTAATCGACTTTGCACCAGTTGGGTCACCATCGTTTCTGTTGTGCAGTATCGTGTTGGATGGCAAAGGTATATAAAGCGTATCAGGTGAACTGACACAATGTCACTCGGTCATGTGAGTACCTCAGAATGTCTCAGGCCTTGGTCACATTATATCTCTGACGTATTTCAGGAGAATGTTTTGGATTCCAATGAGACTCTGAAGCAGAGTTTGATAAACATTGTATTTGTTATGTTTCCAATAATACCATAATAGTCTAAAACAAAACCCACCAACTTAAGATTTGATAAAGATTTATTTTTTAGATTAACTCTGCAAAACAACAAAATTGAAAAAAAAAAGCAATGCTATACTTCTAAAGCAGTAACAACTAAACATTTATAATGATGTTTCATAAATTAAAAATGATAAATATAGATTTATATATAATACTATATGTCAGGGTTTGAAATTCTCTTTTAAAATGCTTTAAAATAAGTTGGGAGCTCAGCTGGGCCATAGGATTTTGCAGAAAATACACTATTGATTCAATAAACAGCATGCTGTCCATTTTTTAACTTGTAGCTGCACTCTTCATTAGATCCAAATGATCTGCTGAAAGTTTATTGGTGTATATTAAGGCTGCTTAATAATCAGAATCAAAGCAATTTGGTTAGGGGTATGCTGCCTAACTACCTACTCTTAGCCAAATTACTATTTATTAGAGAGCATCTATTATTTCTGTTCTTTAGGAATTGGGTGTAACTATTAATGGAATAAATCAGATAACTGTTGAACAATAAACTTTCTTCAATGTAAAAGGATTTTGGGTAAAAAGTAACAACAATTTACTGCAGTTTTTCAGTTTACAATAAGTCTTATCTTCTTTCAATATTTGTCATGCTTACTATTGGAGAGTGCTGTTTGTTAGAATAAGTATGTGAGGGTTTTTTTTATTTAGTAGAATTTTTCCTTGTATTAGGATTGTTTTGAGATGTAATGCAACCCAAACAAAAAATACTTTGGACACAATTGATTTTAAACTGTAATACAGTAGAGCCTCTAAAACTCGGCCTAATGTGGACCGAAGGGTGGCCGAGTTTGTGAAAATGCCGGGTTATCGGGAACGGGGTTAAAAAAGAATAAGTACAAGTGTTTCCTGAGAAAATATTGTACAGTACTGTACTTGTATGTATTGTTTGCTTGAGAATACAACAGAGAATAAACTGCCCTTACAAATAAAATACCCTTAAACAAAGGAAAAGTACGTCCTTTATGAAGGCATAGAGCCTTTACTACATGAAAATGAAAATTAATGAATACACTGTGTATAGTAATTTACTTGATAAGACAGACCTCAGAAAAATACTTTATGAGGCATAAAGCTGTCTATAATGAAAATTAATTAACTAAGGATTTTTTTGCCCTGCCAGGGTGTGGCCGAGTTATCCGGAGTGCCGAGTTTTCGAGGCTCTACTGTATTTTGAAATAGGATGGGAAAAAAGACAATGTTATTCTTTTGACATTCATGAACATAAATAACAGAAAAAATGTAGACATCTCTAGCATTGACACAAAGTACCTTTGACACTGATACTTTAGTATCCGGTTATTTCATAATTTCCCTGTATCACTGTATATAAAAATTTTCACATTTGTATTATTGCAAACCTGACATTCATCTTGAGTGATTCCATTCCAAACTTACTGGATTTTTTTTATTTAAGCCAGTCACTGTCCATTCATAGATTTACAATGGGACTTATAGATGACCAACTTGATACTAATGTGATTTACAAGACGTGTCCTCATTTTCTGGTAGTGTGTCAACTTCCTACTCTCCTACTAAAAAATTACAATTTCGTTCTGCTGTCTTTCCATGTATGGAAGAAGGCTTTCTTGAAGGATCTGTGGATATTTTTTTTTGCATTTGCTGTTCCATCAATAAAATTTTAATGCTGACACTTTGAGCACTTGCTCAATCCCATAACATAGTGCTATCTGGGAACATGGTTGTATGTTTAAAGCATTTAGGATAGAAGGATTTGTCTTTTTTTAGATCATCTTTCTGTTGTTTCTGATGAGAATCTCAAGCTTGGCATCATCACTGAAGACAATGCTGTTCAACTGTTATTGCATCTAATTTTGACATTCTTTTACTCGCTTTAGTTGGTTTTTCATTTGAGGATTAGTTAACAGCCTGAAAAGAAAAGGCAAAAGTTGGCATGTAACTGTTACATTCTCATGTTGACATACTGCTCTGTTATTTTACTTGATAAAACTAGCCAAGTTTCTGCAAATGTATCTGACATGTATTTTTAGTAACTTATATATCAGGGGCTGCATTTTATTCAATCATTAGTTCTGCACATGGATCATCACCAGTTTTCTTTGATTCATCTATGAACATCTCAAAATCTGATGTTTATTAATTAATAAGAAGCCAAATGATTGCAGTATTTGAATCAAGCTAGTTTACTGCTACTATTAATAATTAATTTCTAAATAATTTGGTACTAGAGGTAGGCATTAGGTGCCATCTCTTATTAAATTTAATAATTAAATTATGGTTTCTTTGATACTGTGTAAGAATTTTAGATCAGAATTTTTGTTCATAGATTTTTATGGATCACTGCTATTAGTTTCCTTGTAGTTTTTTCTATAATAAGAGAAACTTTATTTGCTATTGTTTAATTCAAAAGTTATGGTATTTGTCCCAAGGACTTCTAAAAAAAATTACAATTACTTCTCTAATATCTTTGCTTGCTGCTTTTCTAGGTACTACTATATATATATATATTAAATGAAAATTGCTATTAATGTGTGTATTCCTTTTAATTTTCTTTAACGCCTCCTAGTCTGAAGTTTCTAATTGAATTAACACAACTGTTGGCATGACATCCAATCCAAGTATTTAATATATTAATGTTTGACAAGCAAATTATAAATAGATTAAATTCAAAATATTTTGCTAATGCTGGAGATGTTCAAAGATTTTTGTAACTTATATCTTTAAATACAATGTTTTCTTGACTAACACCAGGAATTTTAAACCATGCCAATTAGCACCATAATGCTAATTGGCATGGTTCAGTAACAGTATTTATTTATTTTAGTAATTTATTCAAGCATTTGCACTTTTATTGTGTTAATTACATCTGTTGATATTATGGGTTAACAAGAATAATTTTTGCAATCATGCCTTCTGTTTTATATCTTGCTAACTTTAAAATATAATGCTATGAATAATCAAGATATGTCCAAGATATTTTTTGTTTGGGTACTAAAATATATGGTTATAAACTGTGAATATTGACAATAAATAATAATGCCATACAACTTCAGACTAGATCATATGTTATAGCTCTGTATTTATTAAATATGGTTGGTTTAATGAGAAGCACACATTTAATATTTATTAGTATTAAAAAGTTTTAAATTTTGTTAAAATGAATATTGCCAAATTTATGACACTAAAGTATTTTTATATAAGCAGTTTTGATCTATGAAATTGAGTATTGTAAGAACTATTCTTTGAAATTTGAGACTTGATGATGATACAACTGTCTGAATTTTTTGATGAGAAAAATTAGAGGCTGTTTCTGAATAAAATTTTTAATAATAGAAAAAATTTAATCGTGTAATTATAGTTTTAAAGTTTAATTTGATAATTAAAATTTAAATATTTTTAAAGGGCAAAATGGGGAGAGTTATTAGAAGTCAGAGAAAAGGTGCCGGAAGTGTATTTAAAAGTCATAATAAACACCGGAAAGGAGCGCCAAAATTCCGAGCAGTTGACTTTGCAGAGCGTCATGGATATATAAAAGGTGTTGTAAAAGTACGTATATTTCAAGTTAAATTATATCTTTATAAAGATAAGACTGAACATTAAAATTAATACTGGCATCTGGTAGATATACTTTTTCCTGATAAAAGATAAAGATTTATGAAGAAATACATTGATTTTATAATTAAAACATCAGAATTTTTGAAGAAACTTACTAGTGTATATATGAATGTTTTTATTTGCTTATTTTTGATGCCAAGAGCATTATGCAATGTTGAATGCTTGACATTTCTATTAATTTTCATGAACATAGGTCAGCATGTAAAACAGTTCTGAACTAGTTATATAATAAATTGTTAATATAACAAAATTGTATAGATTACCAAAATATGTTTATTTTACTGAAATATAAAATGCCAGAATGTTAAAAAGCTATTAAAAAATGAAAAGCACCATGAAGGCACAAAATCTGATTTTAAAAATTCCTTGTTCTGCTATACAAAGTATGCTAGTGTGGTTACTATCCACAGTGAATTGACGGTTTGCTTATTCTATGAAAAACTAAAATAAACTAAAACTTTTCTATGAAAAACTAAAATATTAATTGTTACATTGGTAGTTTTATTCGCATAAATAAAGAGAAGTAATTAGCCATCTGCTGTGTGTTGGTCTACCGCTAAACCTAAAATTTATATATTTTTCGTGCGGATTTACAGAGACTTTATAAACAGCAGTCATAAGAAATTTAATTAAGGTTTGCTTATTTTTAAGCTGTTTTTACTCTGGGCTCTTAAGAATTTTTAAAATTATGTTTATCTTAGATTTGGTCAGGTGAACAATGAGCTGGTGGCTGGTTAGGCATTGAGCCTAACTTACTAAGCCAACTACCTGAAAAATTCTGGACTGTCACAGAGTAGAACACACTTCCATAGAGTGGCAGACTGTCTTAATCTCAACCATGTAACTATAAATATTCAGAAGTTTATTGTTAGCACTGTTTTGAATTGAAACAAAGTAGCAGCATCACTGATAATGACAGACTACCACACAGTTACACAACACCAAAAATCCAATAAAATCAAAAATTATTCACTTAAATGTTTTCATCCATATACAACAGACATCATCAGGTTCAATTAAAAGAATATAGAACTAGAACACTAAGATGAAAGCTGAAACAAAACATTTAATTTAAAAAAAAAATACGAATAACACATGCACATGACTGTGTGTTAATTTGTTGCTGGTTAGAAATCTCAAATAATTATCACTTTCTATGTAGATGACATAGTCTTTATCTCTATAATTAATTAATTGCTGTGCCTTTTCAGATAGCTTTATATATCTAGAGTTTTTCAAGATAGCTGGTGTGTGTGTCCCTAGCATAGTGCATGAGATGCATATTTTCCAAGTCCAGTTGTACAGTACATCACTGTTCACGGTGTAGGTGGCAAGGGCATTGCAGGGAAGTGTTTTCTAAGGTTTGGATAAAAAGCTCAAGATTTATAAAGCCATCTGAAAAGGTGCAGCAATTAAATATAAAGAAAAATTCTCTATCTCATCTGCATGGAGAGCGTTATTTGAGATTTTTAATCGATGTGGATGTAACACACTAATAGTTATGCACATGTATTATTTATACTTATTTTTAAAATTAAAACATTTTGTTCTAGCTTTAATTTTAGTGTTTTATTTCTATATTATTTTAATGAAACCTGACAATGTCCATTGTATATGGATGAAAATGTTTAAGTAAAGGAGTTTTGATTTTGCTGGTTTTTTGGTATGTTGTGTAACTCTGCTTACAGTTTTAATCAGTAACTTCGTGTCTTACTTTATACACACATGTAGCAAAACAATGCCTAAACAGCTGCAAGTGTTCAATAAATAAAACATATTTTATGCTAGAAAAGGCTTAAACTTTTACAATAATAATACAGCAAAATACTAACAACAGTTAGACCCACATTACTCTAGCCAATTCTTTTCTACAGATATCTTTTGCATTCCAAAACAAATAGCAAGTTGGTGTTTACTCAACAGTCACTGCTAACAAAGTATAAAACAAGCAACCAAAAGTGTTAGCTTCTGGCCCATTAATTCGGCTTTAATGTTGCTTTGGTTGCTTTAATGTTTATCGGGTTAGCTGATGTTTGTTTAAAGTATAAAACTTTAAACTCTGTCATAAAGAATGTTGACTCAATAATTTTTACTTCATTTTTACAGTATTAGAAGTCAGAATTTGGATAATTACAAACATTACAAAGTAAATTGATAATGACTAAAATTTATATTGTCAGATAAATGTTAAAACAGTGTTCATTGATGGCAAAAGAAAACAACTATTGATATTATAATTGAGGGTTGAGTTTTTATTACATTAAACTGAATTTGTTGTTTATTCATATTTGTTAAAACATTTTTTTTAATAATTTGCAGTAAATTCTCTAAATTCATAGTAAATTGATAGGGAATTGAGAATGTATTATATTGCTAATTTCATTATTTAAAATTTAAAATATATACAAACAGTGCAGGAGATGATGTACAGTACATCTCCTCTACCTAGAATCCTTCTACATTATAGGCATACAGAAGCTTGTATTGTAATACAATAATAAATAAACTTCACCAGACATATACAGTAATAAATAGATATTTTTTGATGTTGTCTTCCGGTTTCTCAATACACTTACGCTAATGGTGATTAAGCTTTTGTATGTCTGTAGAATAGAAGGATTTTAAATAGAAATGTGCATCATCTCTTGCACTGTTTGCTGATCTTGGAACGAATTAGAGTTGACAGTATGAGCTCTGACCATCTATTGTCTATCATACTTGTGCATTTATTATGAAACTTTTTAATTTGTAGATTCTTTGTTGTGGCATAGTGTCCATTTATTTTTTGCCACAAAAAAAATTGCTCTATTCTTTTAAAAAGTACAAGTTTTGCTTCTCTTAATTTCTAAAATGGAATGAATGTTGGGAGAGAAACCTGACTAGTAATAATCACTGACACAAAGGACACTTCTTCCTGTCCATCTCATAGAGCACAGCATTACCAACCTACAGAGGATAGTTAAAAGATTTCTTTATGAAAAACAGGTTTAATATTTATTAAATTTAAAAATGTTTTTTACATTTTAATGAGCCATATCATCCTAGATTAACCAAAAATGGTGCAGCGATCAACTGGTCGGTCATAATCAACTTATTGACCATGCCTCTCTACAAGAAACAATTAACATGTTGCTCTTTCTTAGTATATTTGAAAAGACATGCAAGGAATATTTGAAATTGTAGATTGTCACCAAATAACAGCATTCATTTGAGCATTTCATCCATAGATACACCATTCTTTCATGCGCAGCTACCTCTCTGTTTGGCATTATTGTGGATTCCTTATGATTCTATTGTTAATAACATAAAATTAATACTATTAATACTTAAAATCAGAAGTTTAGTTATGAAATCAATAAAAAAAAAGTATCAAAACTGAATGATTTCAGTTAAATTATCAGGAATGTATATAATGAAATTTTGTTTTAATCATACAAATTTATATAATTAAGAATGCTTATTAAAAATTGAATTATGACTATTTACAAAAAATTTTTTGAGTCTATTTATCATCCTTTTAACACACCACAGAAGTAACAGTATATTGGCTTGGATGAATTTCCACAGAACACATGATAAATTATAACGTGTTATCATGTATGCTGTTATAAGAATGCTTATGTCAAGTATTAATTTTAAATATATAATAATGATGATTACATTATAAGACACTTGAAACCTGAGAAATTAATGAGGATTTTTGATATTCTGAACACACTTAATAATTTTTTGAAAAAAACATGTATAATTTATTATTATTAATGATGGTCACTAAATTACAGGAAATTCTTCACGATCCTGGTCGTGGTGCACCTCTTGCACAAGTAGTGTTCAGAGATCCCTATCGTTACAAATTGAAGAAAGAATTGTTTCTTGCTGCAGAAGGAATGCATACTGGACAGTTTCTGTACTGTGGAAAAAAAGGTTTGTGAAAAAATTTTAATTTTAAATATTATTGATTTAAAAATGATGATAGAAAATTAATTTATGATCTTATGATATCACAGAGGCTGTTGCTGAATTTTTAAACGTTAGTCTATTTAAAATTTAATTAAATATTAGATATTTATCAGTATTTAAATTTTAGCAACTCTTCAAGTTGGAAATGTTCTTCCTGTTGGTGTAATGCCAGAAGGTACAATTATATGTAATTTAGAAGAAAAGGCTGGTGATCGAGGTCGTCTTGCACGTGCTTCTGGAAACTATGCTACTGTTATTTCTCATAATCCAGATACAAAGAAAACAAGAGTAAAACTTCCATCTGGTGCAAAGAAAGTTGTTCCGTCAACTAATAGAGCCATGGTGGGTAAGTATTTAGATTTTATTATACTTAACTGTGGTAAGTTGGATAAATATTTTTTGTGCAGGTGTATGTACACATACATAAACACACAAAGGGCTGATCATTTAATTTACAGAATAATGCTAAATTTTTCTCTTCTTGTTTTCATCTACATGTGAGGATTTATCGTACTCAAAACACACTCCATGATCTGTAATCCTTTGCCATCACCATACCCATGGATCATTTGCTTCTGGAATCCAGTTTTGGAGAAGTGTTGGAAAGTTGTGCCACATCAGATGTAATGCATTTGCCTTTTGGAGTTTAAATTTGTAAAAGTATAAAGAAACAGATGAGACTACTTTGAATATGGAGAATGTGACAGGACCTTGGTTTCAATTACAATACTGGCTTCACATTTCATGAAGCATCTGTAAAGTTTATTCTGAGATTTTTAGTGTATTCTTCCTTCAGTATTATTTCTATAAACACAAATGAATAGAGAGCCTTGTCAAGAAATAATGTTTTTGTTCCAATATAATAGTCAAAGACAGTTTAAATAAAAGATGTAAAAATAAAATTAAGATCAACAGGAACTATGGAAGCTAACCACAAGATTTCAAAGAGTATGCAACTCTGACACATTTTCCCAGAAATTCATACAGGAAAAAGTGTAGAAATAATTCCAAAATTAAATGATGAGTTCTTATATACTAAATGTTTGGATATTTTATATTGTATATAACAAAAGATATTAAATAGTTATAATTTACCAGATTTACATTATGTTTAACTTAACCCACGTTTCATGTTTCACGTTTAATTCATTGAAAATGAGAAAAATAAAATGGTTTGTAGTTTTGCATCATGTGATTTTTTTCCCTTACTTTATCATGTATTTCATGCATAGAAAATTCCCTTTTTTTTATGCTTTTTCTGTGCAGAAAATTAGTCTTGTTGCTTTTCACTTCAATTTTGGTTTTAAAAAAGTTCAGAAAATATTGTTTTTATTATTTATGTTAGACATGTTTATTTCTAGTCTTAAAATATTGGGTCGTCAAGGATGAAATTTGTGGAAAAAAAAGGCAAAGTTGGTTGATGATAACTTACAAATATAAGGATTATTTTATTTATCAAAGTATACACCCATATTGTCTATACACTTTTGCCATTTAAGTGACAGGTTGTTCAGGCTGGTGGTGTAAAACCCTGGCTGACCAGAGTCAATGAATTCCTGGAAGGCCAGTTTTACAGCATTGTCGGAATTAAATTGTTTTCCTATTAAAAAGTTGTCCAATTTGTGGAAGAAGTGGTAGTCAGTGGGGGCTAGGTCTGTTGAGTAAGGAGGATGATGATGAAGTTCCAACTCCCAATTCCTGTAGTTTTGCCACAGTCATTTGTGCAGTGTGTGGTCTAGTGTTATCATGCAATAAGATAGGAGTCGATCTATTAACCAATCTAAGCTGTTTTTCTTTAAGTTTTTGCATCATTTCATCCAGTTGGTTGTAGTATATTTCTGCTGTGATCGATGAGCCAGTTTTATGAAATCATAATAGACCACCTGCACTAGACCACCAAATGCTCACCATCAGCTTCTGTTGATAAATATTGCACTTTGGAGTGTGTTTTGGTGATTCATCCTGTCCAACCATAGTGCTGAATGTTTGTGATTGTCATATTGGATTCATTTCTCATTACAAGTGACAATTTGATTCAAAAATGGATCAGATTTGTGCTGAGAAAGCAACATCAAGCAAGCTTCCAAATGCTTTTGTTCTGTTTTTCATTCAGTTCATGTGGTACCCACTTATCCAACTTTTTCACTTTACCTATATGAACTAAATGAGTTAATATTGTTTGTTTGCTAACACCAAACTTCAACGATAATTCATAGGCAACCTGAGATGGGTCAGATTCAGCGGTTGGCAATATTATTACCTACAAATTTCATCCTTGATGACCTAACAGTTAAGCTTGGATTGGATGATCAATTTTATTATAATAGCTTATAATAATTTTACTTCTCATTTTTAATCACTTCTATAAAAACATTTGTCTATAAAGTACTTAAAAATTGGAATGCTTTATAGCTTAAAAATTTATATGAAATATTTTCTTTTAATTAGGTATTGTTTCTGGTGGAGGTCGGATCGATAAGCCTATTTTGAAGGCTGGTCGGGCATATCACAAGTATAAAGCTAAGCGTAACTCTTGGCCCAAAGTTCGTGGTGTGGCTATGAATGTAAGAATGGTTTATTACTATTACTAAATAAAGTATTTTAGTTATAACATTGTATTGATATTTAATTTTAATACTTTGCTATTAATAGCCTGTTGAGCATCCCCACGGAGGTGGTAATCACCAGCATATTGGAAAGGCTTCGACTGTTAGAAGAGATGCTTCAGCCGGTCGCAAGGTTAGTTTTATTTATTTTAATTACATAAATAAATCATTGAAAGAAAATATTTTTACTTTTTTTTTCTGTTGTGTATATTTTCTTACTGAATGTTAATGTAGCATATATCTATAATGCAATTTTTTTTCAAAATTTTGTGTATTATATACTGTATCAGTATTTTGTTATTGACTGACAAACTAGTATGTAATGAAGGTTACTGTTAACTGCATTTCTATTAAGAAATATAAAATAATAATAATATTNTCATAGGCACCCTGAGATGGGTCAGACTCAACGGTTGGCAATACTATTACCTACAAATTTCATCCTTGATGACCTAACAGTTAAGCTTGGATTGGATGATCAATTTTATTATAATAGCTTATAATAATTTTACTTCTCATTTTTAATCACTTCTATAAAAACATTTGTCTATAAAGTAGTAAAAAATTGGAATGCTTTATAGCTTAAAAATTTATATGAAATATTTTCTTTTAATTAGGTATTGTTTCTGGTGGAGGTCGGATCGATAAGCCTATTTTGAAGGCTGGTCGGGCATATCACAAGTATAAAGCTAAGCGTAACTCTTGGCCCAAAGTTCGTGGTGTGGCTATGAATGTAAGAATGGTTTATTACTATTACTAAATAAAGTATTTTAGTTATAACATTGTATTGATATTTAATTTTAATACTTTGCTATTAATAGCCTGTTGAGCATCCCCACGGAGGTGGTAATCACCAGCATATTGGAAAGGCTTCGACTGTTAGAAGAGATGCTTCAGCCGGTCGCAAGGTTAGTTTTATTTATTTTAATTACATAAATCATTGAAAGAAATTATTTTTACTTTTATTTTCTTACTGAATGTTAATGTAGCATATATCTATAATGCAATTTTTTTTCAAAATTTTGTGTATTATATACTGTATCAGTATTTTGTTATTGACTGACAAACTAGTATGTAATGAAGGTTACTGTTAACTGCATTTCTATTAAGAAATATAAAATAATAATAATATTAGGTATAGCATTTTGATACAGAATTTCTCAGCTAATTTTTTGGAACTTTTATATATTAAATGGTTTGAATAAATTATTAAATTACTGTTTAAATTCTAGGTTGGTTTGATTGCTGCTCGTCGTACGGGTCGTATAAGAGGTGGAAAAACGTCAGCACCAACAAAAGAAGATTAATTAGACATTCATTTGTAAAGAAAAATGAAAAAAATAAAGGAGTTAAAGTTATCTCTGTATATTTTTAGAATGCTTGAATTTTCAATTTTAACCCAAATAAAATTCACATAACATGTATTGAAATTACACATAACTGTTCATATTAATCGGAAAAAATTAGTTCAATTATTATTAAACTTATAAGAAATTAAAAACTGCTAACAAATTTTGAAGAAAAAATTGAGAAATTGAATTATGGAGCATTGATGCTATTAAATTTTGATGGTTGAAAGTCTAGGAGGTAGTGTATGATGGACAAAGAAAATTTTACTCATTGGCATTTACAATATTTTGAAAACATCTCTACTTTCAAAACGCGGCCTTTTGTCTTTTTACGGCCCACCAGTGGCCAAGCTGTTTCCGTCCTCGCTTGGATGGGCTGGCCACATGGAGTTTTCCTTCTTTTTTCCACCTAAATAGGGGCCAGTTACCCTTAGACCTCCCGGAAGGCATTCCCTTAGGCAGATCGCCCGTGTTGTGTTGCCATAACTTAATAAAACAAACATACATTGTCTTTTTACAATAATTAATACAAAAAAGGGATGCTTTTGGCGTGTTTTTTACGACTTAGTGTATACACAGCTGTTTGCCATTGACTTATTGAGGATGTTTTTTCTACCGTAATACTTTATTTTTTAATTTTGTTCTTTTCATTTATTATTGGAGTTGAACTTAATCCAGGTCCAATGTCTCGTATACCACCACCTCTCAGTAAAGCTTCGACTTATGCTGGAAATGTCGTAGATCTAGAAGCGAACCAACAATGAAATTAACTCGACTGGACGATTATTTTGCATCGCAGGATATTTTTTCTCAAATACCTCAGAAGATTGTGTTTTCTTGAGGAACGTTTTAAACTATTCTATTGAAACTGGAAGAATTGTCATTGAAATTTGACTGGTGGTCTAATTTACATAAGTATGATGAACGTCTAACTCTCCTGGAAGTAGAAATTACCAAACTTTCGTCTTTTAAAACTGTATGGATAAATTTTCCCCTCAATTAGTATATAGACTGTATACAATGATTCGAAGAAAAAATAACATTATCGTTTACTGTTTGGGTGGTAAAGATGAAGAATTAGTTAATAATTCTAATAGCTTTATTGAGTTGTTTAAAAGACAGAACTATTCATTTTATTAATAGCGAATATCGGGAACTCTGCTTGTATTGTTTGAGTTCTATACTTAAGCTGACAAAATCTATTGGACGAATACTGTAAATAAAAGCTATAAGTCGCTATGTAAGGCGAAGGAAAAGTTATTTTTTGGCTAAAATAAACTCACTACTATTGAAGACTAAAAATACTAGAGATTTTTGGTCACTACTTAATAAATTTCGAATTAAAAAAAAACGTGAAAATGCTATATTGGTTGAATTATTTACAGTACAAGAGTATTTTGCTGGACCAAATTCAGTAATTTATATTGATTTAAGTTTTGGTAATAATGTTCGTCTTTTGGATGATCCTATCACTTTGAATGAATTTGAAACTATAATCAGAAAATTAAAATTATCTAAGGTCCCCCAGGTCTTGATAACATAAGGAATGAAATGATAAAATACCTTTCTACGGAAATACTACAAGATATATTGGATATGTTTAATTCCTTTTGGTCTAGTTACGCTCTTCCTTTATCTTGGAAACAAATTGTTTTAAGGATGATTTATAAGAGGGGAAGTAGGCAGAGGTCAACTAATTATAGACCAATTGCTTTAATTAACGTATTTAGAAAGGTTTTTTTTTCCAACTATTATGGCAAATCGTCTCCGGAATTGGATGAATGAGTTTAATATTGATAATTACACTTCTCCAAGGAGCATTTGTTAAAAATAGAGAGGTTCAAATACAATTTGTTTATTTTGGTTGGTCTTATTCAAATATCACTTTCGTGGAAACGAGGAAAATTATATACTTCTTTTATTGATCTCAATAAAGCTGCCGATCACGATTTGTTATGGTATAAGCATAGGAGCATTGGTCTTTCTCAACTTAAGTAAGTCTTTTTTCTAATACTAGATATAGATACTTTTTCATTTTGTACTATGTTGAGTCCAATAGAGGGATACCTCAAGGAGAACCATTGAGTTCTGTCCTTTTTATTTTGTTTTTGAGTGATCTTCCTGACCTTCTGAGAGGTCAAAGTTCTATGATAGTATTTGGATAGCAGTAAATTGGTTAAGAAAAGTGACAATTATTCGAATATTATTTCAAACTTTAATAAATTTCGATAATAGAAAAACAAAAGGCGAATTGTAGTTTCACGTATCTTCGAAGAGATGGTATTTTTACCAAGTTGAGTAGAAATTTAAAAGTAATTTACAGATGATGAAGCCGGGTAGTAACCAAGTGCATAATAAAAATATATAGATAATTAAGATGACTAAGAACAAAGTGCGTAATAATAATATATAGATAATGAAACTGAGTAAGAGCAAAATGCTTAATATAAATGCCATCGGAATAAACGTTAAAACATGGTTGTAAATCAGGATGGTGATGGTGATGGGTCCGGTGATGATATTTCTGAGAAAATCGATGACTCGGTTGAGAGCAGCACGAATTTTAAGAATTTTCATTCGTAACACGGGAAAACTGCAGTATAGATTTGTCCAAAATAAAGATGTACTGAGTGCAAGAAATAGTTGCCCTTTTGTAGGTAAAAGTATACAAAAAGCGCTGTATATTATTCTTACTACTTGGCATATTAATGAATTTTCATTTAGATTCTGAACGGACGAATGTAATATATTTTCTTCGGAACGATCCATCATTAATAGAATTAATTACTTATAAACAATTGTTACGTCGTTTTTCGTTTGTTATGAGGTTAGTTAATTGTTAAGTGAATGAATTTTGAATTATTTTATATCTGTTTAATTATAAAGAAAGGGTCCCGACATCTTTTATTAAAAAAGACCGTCTTTTATTTTAGTTGAACTATCATTATCCTTAATTGAAACGTGCTCAGTTTATCTCCTTAATTTTATTGCATTATTTATTTTTTCCATTGTGTTTAATATACAGTACAGTAGAGCGTCGTTTATCCGAAACGTCGGTTATCCGAAGGAATTCCAGTCGACAAATTTAAATTTTCGCCAGTGCTGTGGCGCTGTAATCTTTGGCTATGTCTTCGGCTACTCAAATATTTTACGTTTTTGATACTAAATTAACTTCTGAAGTATAATTTTTTATTGTTTTTATATTTTTCAATATATTTATTTTGTTTGTACAAAATAAAAAAATAATTTTTAACGATACAATAGTCTTCGTTAGGCTTAACATCGACGAAAATTCAACGCGAAGCGACACGCAACGGAGAAAAATTTCAACACGGGATAAATTAATATATTTTTTCGTACATAATTGGTTATCCGAAAAATAAGTTATCCGAACAACCCCAGTCCCCAATTGATTCGGATAAACGACGCTCTACTGTATTATTATTACATTTTGCAAATTTCATGTTCAGCTGATCTGATACTGGTTCCAAGTGCTATGCCGGACTAAAGTCAAAGTATAGCTACCCAAACAAGTGTTATATTAAGCTTCTGTATTATTGGTATATGTGTCAACATCTAGAAACTTCCTAACAATGTTACATGTGTTCAACATTGCAGCTTCTGTAGTACCATGTATACGTTTTTATTAAAATTTAATGTTTCTAGACCTTTGTGTAATGTATGTGGTATAACACCAGTAGAATAGAGGACAATAGGTACAATAAATACCGTATCCATCCTCCACATCTGTTTTATTTCATGAGCAAGTGGAGTGTACTGTACTTGTTGATTTTTCAGTGAACATTTTTTTGAGTGTTTGGAACAGATATGTCTTATTATATAGGCGACCTTATTATTAATTATCATTTTTTGTGCATTAATTAGGGCCATTTAACTATGTTATTGTAGCTTTAGTTATGATTTCTTAGAATTAAAATGGGCATTTTTGGGGTTCGGGAACGGATTAATTCACTTTACGTTATTTCTTAAGGAAGAAATTGCTTTGGAACTCGAACTCATTGTATGAACGAATTAAGAATAAGGATAGTTCAACTAAAATAAAGGATTGTCGTTTATAATAAAAGACGTCTGGGACCCTTTCTCGGCCTACATTTATAATTAAACAGATCTATATATATAACCCATTCAACGGGTAATGGCAATTTGTAAATAATGCCCACTAGGGGACGTCCCAGGCTACTAGTATGAAATAATTCAAAATTCATTCACTCAATAATTGACTTCGTAACAAACAAAAAACGACGTAACAAATATTTACATGTACTGTAATTAATTCTATTAAAGATGAACTGTGCCGAAGAAAATATATTGCATTCGTCTGTTCAGAATCTAAACGAAGATTCACTAATATGCCATTTAAAAAGAGTTTTTAGTGATTTTACAAAAGGAGAAATATTTCTTTCAATAAGTATTTTATTTTGGATATATCTATTCTGGAGTTTTTCCGTGTTACGAAAGAAGAATTTTAAAATTTGTGATGCTGTCAAACGATTCGTCGATTTTATCAGAAACGTCATCACCGAAACCATTTACATCTCCCTGATTTTCAACGATTCTTTGTTAGTGATGTTTATTACGATGACATTTTTATTATACACTATTATTTTGCTCTTTGCCAGCGTAATCATCTGTAAATGTTTATTACGAACTTTCCTCTTACCCAGCTTAAATATCTGTATATCACTTTTAAATTTCTACTCAACTTGGTAAAAATACCATCTCTTCGAAGATACGTGAAACTACAATTCGTCTATTATCGAAATTTATTAAAGTTTGAAACAATATTCGAATTATTGTCACTTTTCTTAAATGATAAACAAGTAAAACGGCACTACTTGGCATATTACTGAATTTTCATTTAGATTCTGAACGGACGAATGTAATATATTTTCTTCGGAACGATCCATCATTAATAGAATTAATTACTTATAAACAATTGTTACGTCGTTTTTCGTTTGTTATGAGGTTAGTTAATTGTTAAGTGAATGAATTTTGAATTATTTTATATCTGTTTANTTTCTTAAATGATAAACAAGTAAAACGGCAAAACCGTATTTGGGACAAGACTATGTCTCGGAGACGGAATCACTTTGATGCTCAAGGCAGGTCTCGTTCTCATTCTCCTATCTTCTTTGATATCGCTGCTTTTGGGCGCGATCGTTCAAACTTCGCCCCAATTTTTGAAGCACTCCCAAATTTACAAAATTAGATTACAAATTTTATTTAACATAGAACTACATGTTCAGTCCTAAGGTCAGAGTTCACTTCTTAGAATGACTGTGGGTGGTACTCTCCCCTGCCTGCTTAGGTGGGGTGAAGCGGCTGTTTTGCCTGTTTGTAGAAGAGGGTCGCCATTTTGTATTTTATTTTGACTGGATTCTCGGTTCTCTGACTACCTACGAGTCTTGATTTTTTTATGCGCAAATGATTTGGGCACCTAATCACTCTGTGCCAAATATCAACTCTCAACATGTACTCCTTCATACCTCTATGCTGGTAAGAACGGGTGGCAGTGCGATTTTATAAACAAGACATAGTCTTGTCAATAACGTAAATACAGTATATTCAAATATATTTTTGTTAGCGTATCATTTCATTATCTACGAGAAAAAAAAGGCTGGCAATAGATCCTGCTCGACTTTCCTCGCCCTCGAACAGAAAGTCAGACAATTTTCAAGTGTTACAAACGTGAAGGAAATCTGAGAAACTGTACTCGGGCAACCCGTTGGCGAGGCGCGAACCCACGACCAGTGTTCAGTGGTTTTATCCATTCAGCCACTGGTGGACATCCCTCAACACTAGATCAGGATGTTGAAGGGTTTATTAGAAAATCCGATAAATTTTAATTAAACTAGAATATAAAATTTAAGTAATAACAAGAAGCTTACAATGAATAATTTTGTTGAATTTTAATAGAAATAATCCTGACAATTTTCAAAATGTTTGGTTCATCCAGTCTTGAGATGTGATGCAAAATAGATGCCTACAAACACACACGCACACAGAATTTTCTACGGATTTTTTAACATTTTGGGGGGCTCTTTCAGTGTCAAAACGTCGAGAAATGCAAAAATTTTGACATATCACCATGTTATATTCTATCACAGCTGGAAAGTATTAGGGGCTCGGTAAATGACGTCCACACAAGAAGAGAGGAGGGGATTACGACAAGTCGGACAAAGTCATACAAGGGGAAAGGAAGGGGTTGCGCTTCAGTGGACGTCCGTTTATTTCATTAAATTTTATACAGTTTATGCATTTTATTACATTTATTTTAAAATTTCTTGCACGTTTCGTTTCTACTTATGGTATCTATCATTCATCAAGTGATAAAGGTTTTAAGCGGGGTCGAGTTTTGTTGGACGTCCGAAGAGGAAAGGGGTTACGGAAATTTGGACAAGAGAGGAAAGCAAATATGCGGACGTAATTTATGATATTTGCGCACACATTTTTATCTTTATGTGAAAATTAGTATATTGCATATTTTTCCCTGAGGGATTTTTCGGTACGAGCAATTTTTCTGTGTGCGCATATATGACTGTGATTTTTTCTGGGCGCAATTTTTGTGTGGGCTTTTTTACGTGCTCTTTTTTTTATACAATCGAGACGTTTTTCCACAATGTTACAACTGCCCTTCCAAATTCTTCACATTAGATGGTCGAAGCTAGCGTCCCAACTGGATGGGCGTCAAGTTTGGAGACCGGGCAGGCCATGGAAGTATAGCAATGTGGATGGAACATTGTTGGAAATTGTAGATGTGTGAGGCTGAGCATTATCTTGTTGGAAAATAGCTGTTTGTAGTCCTGCCATGAAAGGTAAATATGAGGGAGCAGAATTTTCTGAGAGTACCTGTGTCGTCAATGTCTCTCATACTACTAAGAATGGGAAGAACGACTGTCGTATGAGATGGCTTCCCAGAACAGCAGTCAAACGTTTGGGCAGTTTGCCTCTTAAGATGTCAGCCTACCGCTCTGGATGACCCAAGATTGAATCCAGGAAAGCAACCCCAGAAATATTTTAGGGGTTGTGCATTCCGGATAAGTCGGCCTCAGTCCCTTACCTTCTGGTTGCTCTTCGTGGGTTTAGCCAAACCCACGATGGACTTGAATAAAAAGACCCACTTAGTGCCCATAATAAAAACTAAAAAAAAAAAAAAAATAATAATATATTTCCCTATTTTTTCTTCAAAAGTATAGAATTCTTTACAAATTTCCGCATGAATATCTTGCGTTTCTTAACCCGACGAATCATTTAAAGTACATTAATCGGACATATTTATGTGAGCACCCTGCAAAGCTTTTCCAGTATTACCGAATGACAAAAAGTAGTTTTGACGAATTGTTGGGAATAATTGGTCCATCAATAATAACATCAATAAAAATGTAATATTATTTGCAATACATTTGCATTATAAAACAAATAAAGTTAGTTGTTCTGCTGCTTTAAAACTGAGACTAGACTAACGCAAGTGAGTGCATGGCTGTTCCTGTCTGTGTGATTCATTGGGTAGAGCGACAATCGCGCGCTTTAAAAAACGTTATGTTTAGGAACATGCTTATACTTCTTCCCATTTATTTATTTTTTTTTACCGATTAAAAGTACTGTACCATTTTTAAAACCGATTTGTAGTAAAAATATCCAAAATGAGGATTTTTACTTCAAAAATCCCCATTTTGGTAGGGAAACCTCCGATCTGGAAAACTGTACTCTCTAATTTATTTAACGTTAGATATTTTGAAAATTTTCACATCATGAATTAAAACAAATCATTAAATAAAAATACAATAGAAACGGTTTGAAAAGTAACGTGTAATGAAATTATTAAAATTTTATCCTCACACTGGCATTGTTGTGGGGAATTTTTCAATAAAATCCCTTAATCTAGAGAAATTTTAGTAGTATTTTGGGGATAATTGGAGTCAATCTTGCAACCTGCGATAGGGTGCGCTGACTTTTATCCCGCGAAGGATACGTTCAAATAGTGAATTTTGGTTTGTTTTGAAATTTGTTTAAAATAAAATGGATAAAAGAAAAAATTACGTTCTAAATATACACGATGTTGTAACTGCTATAGAGTTTTCTCCATTCGGATGGGTCAGTTCTTTATTAGCCGTCGGAACATCCACTAACGTCATTATCATATCTTGTAAATTTCCTGTAAGTTTAAACACGTGTTTTATCTATTTTAACTTATATATAAAATAGAAAATTCATATTTGGGTAACCTATATTTGTCTTTAGAATTACAAAAGCGTTATCATCATCAGGTAGAAGTTATATTTAGGTACATTATATACATAGGTGTCCAAAACAAAACATGAATACAGAGAACTGTAGAAGAAATGCAAACAAATATGGCAAAGAACGGTTAATGTGTACCTAGGTAACCCCAATGGCAGCGCTTCCGACTTGTTCGTGGGCCCAACAGACTCCTCCCGGAGGGGAGCTGTCAGCAGGCCGCCATGTGCCAAACGTTACTAGTTATTGATTCACAGTAGCTCTTGAACAAAATTAAAAAAAAAAGAAACATCTACTAAAAATATAGTTAATCTAACCTAACCTAATCGAAGCGTCGCCATCTTGGACTACCTAGGTACACATTAACCCAAAGGACTATATTACTCGACATCTAATAGGGTAATACATACGATTTATAAGTTTTACAAATCAGAACAATAAAAGTAAGTGGTGAAAAAGATATCTACAGGTGTTTGAACATATATGGAGAATGGATGGAAACTGCTTACCAATACACAGACAGAGAGATCTGTTGGCATGAAAGACGTCCTCCTCGAAACACTGTGGCAAGCTTGTTGCCGAGTGACTTTTCCTAGCTATCGCTGCTAGCAATTGTGCTTGTCCTTAAGTTTTGACACTGTACATGTATGTATGTAACAAAATAATCTAAAGTAACTTCTACCCATCATTAATAAATTGTTTTATTGAACTCATTCTATATTAATAATATCCAAAATGTTTTCAGATCTGTATATCAATGGATCCAGAAACATTTTAAGATGTCAATGTAAAATGAGTTTCAATTGTAAACTATTGCTTAATTCATTCTGAAAATAGTGTTCTTGTATAGCATGATAATCAGTTTGGTATTGAGAAAGATCGGCTTTTGTATTTAAACAAAAATTATATATGTTAATTATTTATAAAATAAATAAAATTGGAAGTAATAATGAAATTTTCTTTAAAAAAAAAAACAGTCTTAAAGATAAATAAAAGCAAATTTAATTCCAATTAAAATTGCAAGATAAAATAAATATTATATAATTTATTAGTAGAAGAAATTGTTTAACAAAATTTTTATTTTAATGATTTTTTATAAATTATTGTTACATTGTCAAAATTGTAAATGAAATAATGTCATTTTTATATGATGTGTCTGCATGTGCACCTATTACAATTTTCTAGTCAAATTTATCAATATACATAGAGTTATATTATCTTCCATTTATCATGTATAAGAAATAAGACTGAATTTTTATTTCTTATACAGTTGAATCTGTTCATCTCAAATCTCACAGGAACGGGAAAAAAATTCAAGATAGACAGATTTTCAGATATAGAGGTTCCTACACAATAATCAGTAGAGAGGTTGAGGCGCACGTTTTAAACGTGTAAACGTGTACGTGTGACATTCGGCGCCGCTTTCCCGTAAGCCTAAAAGTTTGACGATGGTGTTTGGAATGTCGAGCGTGATTCCACCGACTATCCAAACACCATTGTCAAACTTTTAGGCTTACGGGAAAGCGGCGCCGAACGTCACACGTACACGTTTACACGTTTAAAACGTGCGCCTCAACCTTTCTAGTAATAGGTTTGATTAGAGCTATGGTGTTTTATTAATACAATAGCAAGTATACTACGAACTTGTATTAGGTACAAATAAAACATTTTGACATACCTTAACAGAAATAGTTTGTCAATAGTTTCTGATGCCCAACTTTCTTCAACCAATAAGACACAAGCCAAACTTATAACCAATCACAGAAAAGCAGTGTTAATTGCAACTATGTACTGTGTTGCAAGAGATATATTTCTCAAGTACAATTTATGCTGTCGAATGTCCTGATCTTTTACTTTGTAATCGACACTTCAGTTCATAATTTGAGATATAGAGGTTTTGGGAGAAAATTATTTGAGATAAATATGGAATATATATTGAATTTAGGTTGAAAATGCAGGGGAAAAATAAATTTTGAGGTAGGTTTTCAAGAGTTTTGAGAGAGACAGGTTCAACTGTGTTTTTAATTACACCTTTAACCAATTTTGTACTGTGCCAATTATTTTTTCATCCAATGAGAAACTTGCTTTTTTTAATATTTTCATTAGACAAAAAACAAAGATTCACTAAAGATGTAAACTGTTTGATGATTGAACAATTCAAATCTCAGTTCATTTCATGTATTTACTTGTGTGTAGGACATATGAATACAAATGTTTTCATAGCCTTTCATTTAAAATTTACCATGAATATTTAGATAAGATTATGAGCTTTACTTTTATTTTTAACCTGTCATAATGTAATGTTTTGATGTAATCTTAGTGATTGATAGTTGAATTTTGAATTTCTTCACTATTGCTATGTAATACATGGCAATAGTGAAGTTTCCCAATTAGAAAATAAATATAATTTTTTACTTTAAATTAAATAAAAAGTTTATTTAATCATTCATTTTTTTTTCTTATTTCAAATTGAATGAATGTATGAAATTGTATATATGCTATTAATGAAATATTTAGATATTGTACAGATTTTATTTTTCATTTGATGTGCATGAAAAATTTTAATTTTGACTATTAATAAATTTTAATAAATAATTGTTAAATGTTTATATATTCTTACTTGATTTCATTATTATTGAAAAAAAGAAAATGAGAAATCAATAAATTTGCTATTTGTGATAATAGAAAAAATAAGATATAGTTAAAATGTAAAAAGTAATATATTGTGCATATTAATGATTCAATTGTGATTATTTAGGAAGATGATGCTCTTGTTGAAGATTTAGAGTATAAATATATAAGGGAATTTCATCATGGATGTTTTGTGAATTGCATTGCTTGGAGTCCACAGACAACACTAACTCAAATTCCACATGTATTAAGGTAAGTTTGTCTAGTGAACAAAGATGCTTTTTATAGTTATTTGTTTATCTCTTGATTGGACAATCATCTACCATAGTTGTATTTCTGGGGCATCCAATGCTTGCTTGTTATTTATTTGTTTTCTCATGTATCCACTGTTTACGTCTGCTCACAGTCAAGCCAGAATGGCTCAGATGATGGACATTTTGGCAAAATGGTAACCTGCTTCCTTCAATTTGATGATGAAGCTTTTGTCAAAGTTCATCAGCCATGCATAATGTCTTTGAATGCATTGTATGGGCATACTTGGCATTTGGAAACCTCCAAACAACAGGTACACTGAAAATTCTGAACACACTGAACTTCTGCCAGACTTTTTTATAGGATACTGATCTATAGTCTATTTAGTAGGTGCCAAGTTACAAAGATTGGCTTGGCACCTACTGTAAACAAAGATTTTGTCATATTAATCCACTGGAGATTTTTATTGGTCAAGTCACAATTGGAAGTAGCTAGACATGTGTTGACCAGTTAAGCCCTTTCTCTGCACATGTTAAAGTAGGTCAGAGTGGTCACAACAATTTAAAAATTACCGAGATAATATTTAGAAATGTTATTATAGCCTACTTTAACATTTTTATGTAGGCATTTAAATGATTCCATCATTTAAATATAGTTTGTCGAAAATTATTATTAAATATATATTATTAAGACTTACACAAAACATATTTATAATTGTTTACATCAGAATTTTCATCTACACAACAGTTTTACAAATCAGAACAATAAAAGTAAGTGGTGAAANTATTTATAATTGTTTACATCAGAATTTTCATCTACACAACTATTTTATTAAATAGATATAAAACAAAATAAAAACAATTCTCTGTCAATCCTTAAAAATCATACACAAACCTCCAAAGGAAAACGTTTCAAATTTATCTATGTGATATTTATATAATTAAAAATTTTTTAAAATAATTATAGTGTGAACTTACTTTATTAATCATCTGTATCAGAAGATAGTTGTTCAAAGTAATCATTTATATCGCTTTCATCACTATTTGTGTTTGACTGAATAATCAGTTTTTCTACAACAGTTTCTGAAATCTCATCAAGTCCCACATTTGTCATTGTTTGTTTTTTATATGTTTGATACATTTTCTCCATCATTCTTCAGTTATTTGTTGAATAGCTTCATTCCTTAAAATTCGCACATCTGACGGTTTGAATGTTGTGTTATGACATGTGACCTTTCATGACTGCCATATCAGTTCAATAGGATTTAAATTATAATGATACAGAGGTAAACGTAACACGTCAACACCTATTTCTTTGGCCATTTTGTCAATATATTTATTGTATTTAACAATATCCAAAAGTTCTATTTTCAACATTTTGTTGTTATGACAAACCCTATTTTTTTCCAACCAAGAAATTATGTCAGCTTTTTTCCAACTACAATTTGGAATTTTCTCAATTTTAGCTGAGTGATATGGAGCATTGTCCGTGACAACAACAGCATTGCTTCCTAATTTTGATAATATTTTTTCAAACCATTTTTTGAAATTATTGCTATCCATTTCTTTGTGATAATCTTTTGTTGACTTTGATTCAAATTCATATAGACCAACATTAAGAAAATATGTATTGCTGCTTACACGAACAAAAACTATTCGTTTTCCCTTTCCAGAAGGATTTTTCAGTCCAGTAGATCGTCCAGACATAGAAGCTTCACAATATGATGTAATTGAACAGTCCTTCCATACTTTATTCTTGGTATGGCCTGCTAATCCATGTTTTGTTCAAATAGTAAATCCTACGGCCTAAAGAACGCATTTCTGTTATTTTTCGTAGATATTGTCTTTGCCATAAAATGATATCGTCTCTTTCAATTAATCTACTATTTCTGTTTTGGTTTGTATATTTAAAATTAAGTAATTTTAACAAATTATATATGTGGATCAAGTAAAGTCTGATAAATCTGGATCATCATTAACAGCCTGTACAGTAGGTAATTCATTTAAAAAATAAAAATTGTGTACTTTACCTCTAATGGCACATTTTGTGAATTCATCATATTTGTCAACAAGTTGAGTACGCTTATGGGTTTCTGAAGGAGTTATTACTTTACCATTAAAATATTCTTTACGAATTCTGTAAATGCTCATTTCTGATATCTCTGTTATCTTTGCTACTATTTTCATTATATCCTTCACACAGACTTCTGGATTCACTTCAGTTAAAGAATTAAACAAATTTAATGCTATTTGTTTATCCAAGCTCCTCAGCGATTTTCTTTGTCGATGTTTAATGGTATTTACATTCAAGTTTTCCATTTTTGTAATTCAACAACACACAGTTTGAAATAACTATTTAAGTTTGAAATAACTATTGTTATTTCAAACTGTGTGTTGTAATTCAATTTAAGTTTGAAATAACTATTGTTATTTCAAACTTAAATTGAATTACAAAAATGATAGTTATTGTAATGAATGGAAAATGAAACCAAACCATTATAGGCACTTGACCAGAAAAAGTTTATTTTTAATGATTCAAAATGTGCAAATATTCATTAAAATAACAATTTAACAAATATGAAATAATTACATTTATAATCATTACTAAATGACTAGTATTTCATTAATGATTTTATAAATAACGAAGAACTATTTTCTGCGGACGAATTTCTAATTGATGGACATAGGTTTAACCAGTAAACAAAGGGAGGTGTATCTTAGTTTGTTTACAGTAGGTGCCAAGTTACGATAAATAGACTATAGTGATTTTAATGTACTATGGTGGCATTACTTTGATGTGTAATTGGACCACAACTATAATCATTTACATACCTGTCTGAGACAGCTGTATGTTAAGTTTAACAATAATTGGAAAATTCTATCTGGATGCATAACTTTTTTTTATCAATGAGTGCATTTATGTATTTAATTTCAGAAAATATAAATAATTAAATCTAGACCTTTTTAGATTTGCTACAGTTGGAGGTGACAAGAAAATCAGATTTTTTCATTCAGATGTAAAAAATGAAGACACAATACAGGTATTTGTGAAACTTTAATATGTATAATAGTTTTTCATTATGAAGAATTTACAATAAAAGTTTTAAATTTGATTGCTATTTGAATAATCACAATATATTTATAAAGAAATAAAAATACATGCAAATATTAATAATTTGCCTGTATTTCTTTCACCTTAGTATCAAATACTCAAACATAATACAGTATTTAATTGGAAATTTTGGTCAGGAGGACTGATGTCATTTCTTTTGAATAAAATGGCATCTAAGCAAAGAATAACTGTTATGAGTAGACAAAAAAAAGAAATGACATGTTTGTTAATATTAGTTTTTGCTAGAATTAACCAGGAGCAGAATTGAATCTATGTATATATGTATTCAGTTTATCTATATAAAGTATGCTAATATGAAATCTGTTTCCAATTTGTTAAAGTATTGATGTGTCTTATATTAATAAATTTATGTATCTTTATATTCCTTATTTATTACTAACTTAACATCAATTTTTTTACAGCAAATATTTTGCTGGATACAGCTAATTGTATTATAATACAGATTAAAATTTTTAATATAGTGAATAGTCCAATTACAGATGTTGGAATTATTAATAAAAAGTGCTTTTTCTTGTCAAAACATACAGCTGAAAATCATTAGTTTCTAGCTTATATGTCAGATTAATATAAGAGAATATTTTGTTATTGTTGATCATTCAAAGAGACATGATAAAATTCATATCTTTATTCAATTGAATATTTCTTATTCTGCTAGAGATTTAAATATTTTTAATAAAATAAAATGTATTAATATATAAAAATAATCTAAATAATTAAGTAAAATTAACTGTGTAGTTCAAGAAATCCAGTATCTTTATACAAAAAATATTTTCAGCCAATACTTCTCAAACTGGATAAACAAACATACACCTTTATAGTAATAATAAAGAAACTTTCACAAAAAGGCATTAAATACATTTAAAATAATGTTTTATTGCTGCTAGTGCTTTTGACATATTATAAGGCTTTGTCCTCAGGCAGATGTAAATTAGAATAAACCTTTTGAATTTATATTTGTCTGAGGACAGATGCTATTTCCATCCTAGAGAAATTGGATGTAAACTCTATCCCATTAGAAAATACAATATCTGGTATATGCAACCACTACATAGGGGCAATAACTAGAATGTTATCTTGCTGCATTTCCGAACACCAACATACCATCATGGTAGGCAGGTGTGATACTGAGCTATCAAGGATGGTGTTACAACATCAACACACCCTGCTGTGGGACTGGGTGATGATGCTCAGGTATTGTGATCAAAGGAGCCTGGTGTATGTTTGGAAGGTCCTCCTCACCATATTACTAAATCCATGCAACTCTCCCACAGTTGAGTTGCCTGCAATGTGGGTCAGCTTATATAAAAGACTGAAACATCACTTTTAGTGCTGCTTTCAGCACCTAATCTATGCATTATGGTGCATACATATATTCACCATGCACACTTTAATTTAAATTCTTTGTTTGCTTATTTTAAATATCATTAATATCTTGATATTAATGATATTTAAAGACTTGATCAAGGTATTGTAGAGGTGTATGTTTGTTTATCCAGTTTGAGAAGTATTGGCTGAAAATATTTTTTGTATTAAATATAAAGCAAAGTATCTAAAAACTGTTTTTTTCTTACTAAAGATGCCAGCTTCCTAAGTTTAAAATTCTTTTGTTTAATTATTTACCAATATTGTCATAATAATAATGTGATTTTTTATGATAAAAATATTGCATATTTATAGAAATACAGTGGTGCCTCGTATAATGTACTTAATCCGTTTCAAGTGCACGTCCGTTAAGTGAAAAGTCCATTATATGAAACGCATTTTTCCATAGAAATACATGTTAAAACATATAATTCATTCTGCAACATAAAATAACCATACTGTACCATAAAAAAAATGAAAATGGAGCAGTTGCCAATTATGCCAGGTTGTCAGATGTTGTGAGGAGGAGGTGGAAGAGCACTTTCTTCACACATTCATACAGATACAGACTTTTTACACATTGCAGCAGGTTACTTTTTATTGTTTTTTAATCGGAGTCAGATTCAGGAGAGGCTACTGGGGCTTGCAGGGTCAACTCCTCTTGTTCCATCCTTTGTTTTTTGGCAGCTGGCTTTTTGAAAAACATGTCCAAGGTGGTCTGTTTCTCTCTCTTCTTCAACACCTATCGGAAATGATGGGCAAGGGTGTCATTGTAGAGATCATTGATCCTGTTGGCCTCAACTATGTTTGGATAATGAGTGTTAGGAAACTCCTGAACCTCTCCCCCATTTGACAAGGAAGTTTTTGTCAACTTTCACTCCTTCTGATGATTTCTTGCTTTGTTTCAATTGAAATCACCTTTCTGTTTTTTTTAGAAGCCTTGATTTGCACAACACTTGAATAAATGTAAATATACTGCACTGAGGTGATGTATGTAATAAACAAGGGAGCAAGCCAAATCCCAACGGGAGCTCTGTACTTCAGATATACTAATAATATATTCTAATATATTATAATAGCAGATTGTCATTGGCAACAGCAAAAGTGTGGTAACGTCATTCGCTCTTGTTTGCAGAAAGTCCGTTGTTCGCATCACATAACTTCGGAATGGAAAGTCCATTGTTCACAGCCAGTCCGTTGCTCGAGTCACGTAACAGCCAAACAGAAAGTCTGTTGTTCGCAGTGTCTGTTATTCAAGGCGTGCGTTATACGAGGCACCACTGTATATCAAGTAATCAATAGATTAATGATTCTAATGAGTAAAAAATTCTTGTATACTTGTGACAAAATGAATCTAAAAGATGGTTAAAATAATTAATAATTTTTAATTATAAGTCTTTAATTTGCTGTTTAATCATTGATTAAATTTAAAATTATAATTATTTAGATTTTAGAGGGACACACAGATTATATTAATTATATAAGTTTTGAACCACAAAATGGAGAAGAATTTGCAAGTGTCAGTGATGATCACACTTGTCGGATTTGGAGTGTAAATGGCACGTTAAAATTTACATTTTTACTCACATCACCTGGAGTATTTGTATCCTGGCATCCAGACGAGTTACCTGGAAAAGTATGTTTTTTTTTTTACATAACATTTTTAGCTGAATATGGTGATTTATTTTGAAATTTGTTTTTCAGCTTATGGTTGCAGAGAAGAAAGGAATTATTAGATTTTATAATATCAATAAGCAACAACCAATGATGTCTTTGGACTGTAATTTAACTCCATTAATGTCAGCTGATTGGTGCACAACTAATAGTCTTCAAGTTGGTTGTGTGGCTGCTACTGATTTGTTGTTATGGAATATTTCACTTTCAAGGTTGGTTATGTACAGTACATCACATTACTCATAAGATTGATGTAAAAACTTTTTTTGCTGTTTTCTAACAAAATATTAATCTTTAATTTTAAACAATTTATAATTTATAATTATTTGTAGGTTTGAATTTAGTATTTCTAAATGTAGTGCTAATTCAGCTAGAAAAGACTTAATTTATATTTTTAAAGTGATAAAATGTAGCTAAATAATTCCTAGCAAAATATATCCTTTGCCATTTGATTTAATATCATTTTACTATGTTTAATCAATTTTTAATGAACATTGTTGAATTTATAGCAACAGTTATTTTATAATTGATTAGCACTTAAATACTGATCAATTGACTACATGGAAGAATGAGTGAGCTTCAAATAAAATTTGTTATTTTAGATTTAAGTAAAACTTATTATATTTCACATTGTAGAAATGCAGAATATAAAGATCTTATCAAAGAATTGTGAAAAAATTTCTGAACAGAAGTATTATCTAACTAACTAATTAATCATTAAAAATAAATTTTTTATTATTGATTTCATTGTTTTAACTTGAGTTTTTTTCCATTAATATTAAAATTTCTAATTTCTTTTTATATCAATTAAATGTAATGATAACAAATTTATTATTATTTAGTTTTTCCATTTCCACTTGCTTTCTTCCACTTTAATTTTATCCAGTGAAACTTTAGTAGTAGGTTTTGAGTTATGTTCAACAAGAAGTACTCTTATATAGGAATATGCATTTTGGACATTTTTCAGTCCAATTTCTTAAGTTCCTTTTTAATATCACATTGAATGTAGTATTTTATAACATTTAACTATTTTAAATGTCTTAGTTAAATATTGTTATATAAAACAAAGGAAAAGACAAAAATAATATTATATAATACTGTAATAATATTATATAAATAAATAATAATATAATAATTATAATGCATGAAAAGAATTCAAATGGTATAAAATACTATGTTGAATGTGACATTAAATAGGAACATATAAAGAAATTGGACTGAAGAGAGATAAAAAAAATGCCTGAAATGCCAATCCTTATGTGAAAGATTTCCTTTGTTGGCTTCTAAAAAAATACTATTTAAGTTTTATTGAATAAAAATTAATACAGTAGAGCCTCAAACTCGGCCTAATGTGGACCGAAGGGTGGCCGAGTTTGTGAAAATGCCGGGTTATCGGGAATGGGGTTAAAAAAGGATAAGTATGTGTGTTTCCTCAGAAAATATTGTACTGTACTTGTATGTATTGTTTGCTTGAGAATACAACAGAGAATAAACTGCCCAAATACCCTTAAACAAAGGGTATTTGGGCGGTTTATTCTCTGTTGTACCCTTAAACAAAGGAAAAGTACATCCTTTATGAAGGCATAAAGCCTTTACTACATGAAAATGAAAATTAATGAATACACTGTGTACAGTAATTTACTTGATAAGACAGACCTCAGAAAAATACTTTGTGAGGCATAAAGCTGTCTATAATGAAAATTAATTAACTAAGGATTTTTTGCCCTGCCAGGGTGTGGCCGAGTTATCCGGAGTGCCGGGTTATCAAGTGTCGAGTTTTCGAGGCTCTACTGTATTATTTAATTTTAGATTTTATTAACATTTAGAGTGAAAATGCATTTTAACATTTTATTTATTTTTTAATATTTGTTTAGCCAACCTGTTAATAAGAAACTTGCTCATAACAAAGGTGCACTTTGCTTTTCTTTTTCTCGTATAAATCTAAATGTAATGGCTACCAGAGGTCGACCTGGCAATGAAATCAAAGTAATGAATGCTAAACTTAATCAAGTGAGTTTTATTTTAATTAATTTCAAACTTTAATATTTTTAGTTTTTGAATAAACATTGATTAAATAATAATAATCAAACATCTTTTTCGTTGCCGAGAAAGTTTATTTAAAACAAAAGTTTTTGACCTATTCTATAGGCTATCATCAGGTTGAAAACGGACAATTGGAACATTTTCAATTGTCCATTTTGCTGAGCATGTTCTATTTAATTGATTAAATATTTAAGCAGAATTTACTACTATAGTAAGACTATTTTTGCTATTAAAACTAGAAACTTTACTAAATACAACTAAGTGTTATTTATTAAAGATAAATTAATAATTTAATAAAATCATTTTGTTTGATAAAAACAATTGGTACATAATGAAAAAAATAAATATGATATAAAGAAAGATTTATAATTTAGAAGAGATTTAAAAAAATTGTATTGAAGAATAATGTATAAATAAAAACATTCTAAAAGTTTAAAACAAATGTATTAAGAAAATATAAGTTATTATTTTTTTCAATTTATTTACATTCAAAAAAATTGAAAAAACAATCATTTTTATTAAATATTTTTAAAATTTATTGTTGTTGATAGATTGAGTGAGAAAATTGTTAATAATAATAACAACTCTCACTAGCTACTGTACTGTTGAAATCAGAGAGTTCAGTAGTTGGTCTAAACGGCCCTACTATTTTCACTAGGGTCATGTAGACCAGGAAGGTTCCAAGGCAAAGAGTAATGAAGTTAAGTGTAACTCTCAAATAGCATATGGTCCAGAGTGCGTAAGACAATGCTGTACATTGTCTGTTCTCTATGTTAAGGGTTTTAGGTATATAAGCAAACTCATTTATGGTGAGAAAACAAAAATAGTTCTGGATGATTCTCAGTGTATTTGTTCAGATATCTACTGGATAAACAAGTTTTGCATTTGTGGATTAGACAGTGGCTTGCATCCAAAAAATATGCCACAGTCTTTCTTAGTTTCCAGTGATGAACACAGCACTAATCTAAGTATGACTACTTTATCATAATCACACAATCAGCATCCCACTCATAAACAATGGATAAATCTTTCAATTCAGTCAAAATGCTTCAGAGCAAATCAGCCATTGACCATCAAGACTAAAAAACCATAACAGATGAATTAATTAATTTCTTGGGTTCATTTTATCCAACTTCACTTATCACAAGACTCTAACAAGATGATATACAGGTAACAAATTCACCCAAAAATATTGATATTTTACTGTAAAAGAACAAAGGTTTATAATTGGGTTATAAAGGTTATTTATTGCAGAATAATTACACACAATAATTTTATTCAACAAACAACACTGGAAAAAATTGAACATCAAATTGTAGAGCAGATACACTAAACACTAGATTACATTGAAGATCACATACTTTTTTTACATGCTAACCAGTGGCATGCCGTCATTGGAAGCGGTGGAAGCGGTGCTTCCACTGCTTCCAATGACAGCACGCCACTGATAGTTATAAAATATGGTAAGGTGTGTTTCAAATTTATACGGACACGAAAAAATTAAAGTGAAACCTAAATCTTCTGCATTAAGTGACAAATGTTTTATTAAAAATAACATGGATTTACTTGCTTCCACACTGCAAAATAAGAATTTTAATTAAACATTAACATTTTGTCACTGAAAATAATATTTTTGAAAGTTTTGTACAAAAAAACTGTTACATATTTATCCGGACAGGTACTAAATTGCAAAGTTTTCTTACAATTTNCAGTGGCATGCCGTCATTGGAAGCGGTGGAAGCGGTGCTTCCACTGCTTCCAATGACGGCATGCCACTGGTTAGAAAATACAAGGGACTAGAAACTAGACAAGGGACAAGAAACTAGAAAATACATATTAATTTTAATTATATAAAAATAATTGCACAACATTTTATTATAACCGCATTATGTATCTTATTACAAATTTCTATACTACACGTGAAAAAAAAAAGATATGATTGCTATTGTATATTCGAATATTAGTGGCAGAGTGGAAGTGCTGTATTGTCAACATCCAAAAAGCCAGATTTGCGCATGCGCTTTACAGAGCACCAACCTCACCCGGTTTAGTTGGTGGAAGCCTAGGACCTTGGGTGGATGCTACACGTATACTGCATCCAATTCTATCCAAGACCGGTTCTGGGCTGTTAGCCGCCCACCCTCGCCCGATTACATGAATCACGAGTAGATTTATAACTTAATTCAACCGATAAGAATTTACCTGTATGTTTTTATGATAGTTTTTTGTATAGTTAACAGGAGTTTAAAAAAATCCATTAAAATATTTGATATTTTTATTCCTGTCTCCGATTTTATATTACTCACGGATTTCAATGTTAAACCAGTGATATTACGATTTTGTATGCCCCGTCTTTAAGGGGATGTAGAAAAAAGTGTGTACAATTCTTGTACAATGTTAAAAAAATTAACTGTTACTTTGGTAGCATCATTTACGACTAAATTTAATGAATGAGAGAGATGCATGAGGTACAGAAAAAGCTCTAGAATTTATTTTCCTTAAATTTACGATTTATATATCCGTTTGTCATAAAAGTGTCTTTCCATTGTTTTCCCAAGACTACAAATATTCGAGTACAAAGTAACTGGTTTCAACTTATTTCTACTTAAGAAGTAGTTAAATAATTAAGCGATTAGGGAATTGGGGACATAAACAAAACCCTGATGAAAGAGCTGAAATTTTACTTAAACAAAAGCTTAACCGAACCAATCTCTAGCCAAGTACAGTGGGGACTGATTTCTTCGTATTAGTAATGTAATAAAGACAGAAATTTTTCCAGTTTGATGAGAGTGACTGAAAAGTTGTAAATTTTGGAAATTTCTGAGGACACTTTGTCCTAAAACGAATTAGTTAGAAAACAAATGACTACAGTGGGTGATTGGTTAATGAACATAATCCGTTCCAAGGCTTTGTTCGTTATCCGAATTGTTCATTAACTGATTATTGTTAATGAACAATTCGGATAACAAAATCAAATTCCCATAGGTTTCTATGGGAATTTGATTAATTCGTTCTGGAGACCCTCAGAAATAAAAAAAATATATACTTTCTTACTACGTTTATTCATATGTAATAATAAAAATACATATATACACGGTCTTGCATTTTTATTAGTCATGTTTTTTCCATTTGTGGGAGTTAAAGAATCTGTCCAATGTCGATTGCTTTTCTGTCTTATTCATGATTTTTCAGAAGTAATTAATAACATTGTAATTGTAGAGATCCCTAGGCCTATTAACCTCAACTTGGTTTGGATGCCATTTTAAGACCATTGTTCTGACATCCTCCTACTTCTTCAAAAGATCTTTAATAGCAGATATCAGCATAAATCCACATTTTCAGAAGAAAACGTAAAAGAATTGTTTCTGTCAGAAATACAAAAGGCTGGAATTACAAGGGAGAGTTTCCAAGTTCGGGGGAATACTATCCGATCAGTATATACTGGGTAGGATGTCGATGTCGACATCTCCCGTGCTCCAAAAAGTTTCAAATTGTTGCCTGAAGACAAAGGAAGACCAATTGGTATTCGTTATTTTAAGTCACTCCTTGTGTTTGTTCAGTGAAGTGTTCGTTACCCAAATATGTGTTCATTGTCCGATCATAAAAATCTTTCGTGAAAGTGTTTGTTAACCGATCTGTTCATTAACTGATCACCCACTGTATTAAGTTTAACATATTTAGATTTTTACTGCTATGGTGAGAAACGTTTAAAATCTACAACACTCCTGTTGCGTCCTTTGAGATATACTAGTGATTTGACAAAAGAGGCATTTGACATTGACCGGTATCGGCACCCTGGGGATTTGGCAGTCCGCATGTATGCATGCTCTGCAACCATCTTTGATTCCATCCATTAGCCACTCGTAGGGAGCTATTTGACTAAGTGCATTGTTTTAAGATTTAAAAAGTAAAGAATATTTTATATTTTTAATGTACGTTTCTTTACAAAGCTATATTTAATTATAATTTTCTTTAAAAGTATATTCGTACAATTGAAGAATATTTTGTACCAAGTATGTACTGGTACATTCACCACACATTTTATTTCACCAAGCAAGTTTTTATTATTTTATTTTTAATTGTAGCCCTTATATTGTGGCTAGCGATTCGGAATGTAATTGTGATATTAAAAATACATGTAGAAAAGTCTACGGTTTTTACTGGCTTATCGAATAAACGATATGAATGGACCCTAGACCATCACTGATGCGCAATTGACTGATTGCCCCTGGATGTCGGCTTCTTACAGAAACACAGCTTCCCTATCATCAAATGTCATGGCATGCCACTGATGCTAACAATAGTCACTACTGGAAACAAACTGCATAACCTTGCACCAATGAAAACATAAACACAACAATTACATTAGTGATACTATAGACCAAAAATTAATTAACACACAAATTATGTAGAAAAATACATTGATACTTTCAAACAAAAACTTCAGCTAAATCATAAAACCTCAAAAAAACAAAACCTGTACACTATAAAGACAACAAAATAATGTATTCTCAAACAGCTAAGCCTGCCATATGATCACAGTACAATGGTACACCAACAGAAAAAAAATTGCAGATTATTGATCTGTTCTTTGGTCCAATTCACAAAGATGAAGCAAGCCAGATCAAAGAAAAGTAACAAAACATGCACAACACACTAGTCATGCTCTGTGTTGAAATAAATTTAGACATCATCTAAAATGCAATACAAAGAACACATTTAGAAGACATCTGTTGTAGGTAGATAACATTTCTGGTACAAAATTTACATCTCTGCATCACGACTAGCCGAATGTTTTATACATACAATTAACATTCTGGAAGGCATGCCATACTTTATTACACAGAGTTTAACATACGAGGTGTGTTCAAAAAATAACCAAACTTTATTTTTTTAAGTTTTATTTCTCAGGTTGCGGATTATTTGTCTTTGTCCTCTTCAAAGTACTCCTCTTCCCTATTCACGCA